TATATATATACACACACACATAAAGAATTTACTTGTTTTGGCTCAAAATTTTAGTAACATTTATTGTTTTATAATGGCAAAACCTTCAGCCTTGTCTGGAGTTTCTATCCCCAGTGCCTGGGTGACTGGCAGGACCAGCAGATAGGTCCTACCAGCACCTTAGACACCAGAGCAGCCCTGCAGAAGTCTAAGGCTGCACTTGGTGTGACACAAGCAGCGTGAAACCTTAACATCTCAGGATGCTTCTAGGCATAACATCACATCTGAGATAATGCACAGATCAAGGCCAGGGAAAACTTGTAATAGCAGAATATCCCGAGAGATTCATCCAAAGATGAACAACTAAACTATAGACAACTTTAAGATAAGCTGAAACCAAATCATTATTTTGGGCCTCAAGAGGACGAAACCATTGGGGAAATTGCTGCATTTTTATAGTGACTTATTTTTGTAATAGCTGACACGTAGTGAAGCCCCAGCAGCAATGCTCTCAGCCACGTCCCTTTCCCACGTCACAGAAAAAGCTAAACGGGGACATCAGGAGCATTTCTGCTGTTCTGTTCGCCCGTGTGATTTCCCAGCACTGCATCCCCAGAGAGCGCACGGCGCAGCCGGAGCAGCTCTGGCACTGCCCTGCTGCCCATGGCACTGCCCTGCCACCCTTGGCACTGCCCTGCTGCCCGTGGCACTTCCCTGCTGCCCCGGCACTGCCCTGCTGCCCGTGGCACTGCCCTGCTGCCCCTGGCACTGCCCTGGCGGCCGTGGAGCCGCCGCCGTGCGCCAGCGCCGGGCGCGCATGGCGGGCTCGGAGCGCAGCGCATCCTTCCCATCGCCGCACTCACCGGATCCTGGCGGCCGTGGTGGCGTTGCCGGTCTGTGCCCGCAGACACGCCAGCAGCAGCAGCCTCATAGCGGCCGCTCCGCTCCGCCCGCCGCCGCCGCCTCACCTGCCCGCGGTCCCGGAAACGGCGCTGCGGAGCGGGGCCGGAGCGGCCGCGGCCCCGAGCCACCCACCCGGGCGGGGATGGGCCGGCCTTGCCAGGCGCTCCCGGGCACAGGGCACCTGGCTACCGGGATGCCTTCCCAGCCCTCTGGACAGCGCCGTGTGCCCTCGTCACGCAGGCACTGAGATGACCTGCTCGGATCGCGGCCGGGGAACGTTAATCCAAAGGCCTCCCCAGGGCAGCATCACAGCCTCTGCCTCCTGATGCCACCCAGGGGGTGCCTCGTGCTCGGTGCAGGAACACCGTTAGGAAAAAATCTAAATGTGGGTAGGATGCCAAGCACCAGAACAGCCAGAGGAATGTGCTAGTCCGAAGAGTAAGGCAATGGGATGGTCAAAGAGCACTCCCAGCATCAGGAAGGTCACAAAACGAAGCGGAACCACAGGTGTGTGAGACCAGGGAAAAGGCATGAAACCACAGCAACAGGCAGAACCCAAAGATACAACAAAACGGGGAAGAAAAAAGAACAAGCGTGAACTCCCAATGAAGAAAACGATATCCCAAAGCAGCAAGTCAGTCTTCGGGATAAATTATGGCCAGAACAGCTGAGTGGGGCAGCAGGCAGGAAAGTGAGAGGCCAGTGTGGGGAGTCCCCTGGGAGATGAACAGGGAACAGGTGACTGATGGTAGAGACGCACCTGAACGTGTTCCAACATCTTGTAAAAGTATTGAGAACAGGTGCAGGACGTTGGTGGTGATGAGAAGGAGGCTGATCGGACAGAAAACTCACTTTTTTGCTTATAACCAGGTCTGATTGCCTGATGTAATTCACCATGGGGTCACATAGATGCCAGCTTCTCCAAAGGCTGGGAAGACAGAGAAAAGTGGTCTTCAAAAACCCGTAGCACCTCATTGTTCAAATTTCACTGTCAGGTAGACAGAGAAAAAATACGCCACATGCAGAGAAACATTGAATTAATCTATTTTTGAAACAGTACTTCTTCCAATAATGTGTGGATTTCTGAGGCTAACAGGTGTTTTGAAATGGAGGGTTCAGAAGTGATAAAAACACACACTGGAGTGGGTTCTAGCAAACTGTAAACATTTTGGTAGGCAGGCTCATGTTTTGCTAACAAATCTCAATGCTCAGAGCTGTGTTAACTGCATCTCACTGAGTTATTCCTTAGATTCACTACAACATTCTTTAGACCGCTTCAAACTCCAGTGGAACTAAAAATTTTGGCTGCAAGCTTGAAGAGCAGCACATTTTTCAGAAATGCTAAAAATGGAGTAAATGCTAATCTAAGGGTAGGCAGAACCAAACCATTGGTTCTAGAATGGTTTTGTCACCGTTCTAGAAGTGTTTCTGGCATGAAATCCCACTCCTGCTGAGATGTGGAGGGCTTTTGTCAGCCTGGCCAGGACTCCAGCCTTGGAGCGGCCCGTGGGGAGCACATTTGGGCTCCTCAGCTGTCACAGAGCTGGAGGTGTCACACGGGTGCCTTTCAGCTGGTGCCAGGGTGTCCAGGTGACACATCCAGGTGTGCCACACCAGCAGCTCTGGCAGTGCGTGCCCAGAGCAGCCTGTGTACCCCAAACTGGAGGCTCTGCAGGGGCACCCTGCAGCAGGGTATCTGCCTGCGGCTCAGAAAGCCACGTTTTGGGTTAGCAAAGCTGTCCAACACGTTTAGTGTGCAACACAAAGGAGAAAAAATGCAAACATTAAAGTAAGACAAAGCCAGCTCCGTGAGAAATGAGGAAACTCAACCAGTCGTCTGAGAGATAAAGAGGAAATAAAGGAAACATTCAAAGAGATCTTAACATGTTATCACAATTTCTGGTAACTCTGGCTTTATGCTATAGAGGCTTTGACTGAAACAATAACCTGGAGATGTTCAGCATTGTGTTTGAGAACATGGACATGCATGCATGCATGCCTGCAGAGACACAGCTGCACTCACTGTGGGCTCAGAAAGGGCCGTGGATGTATCACAACGAAGTTTTAAACACACTGTAGCTAAGTGTTGTTTGGAGGGAAATGAAAACCTCCTTCCTGTTGTACTTCCAGAGAGAACGTGTGTGTTCTAACAGCAACTTGTGAATTTTAATGAGTACCCACATCTCTGCACCTGAAGAGTTAAGTAACATTTTAATGTACGTTTCAACTGCTGCTCACATTGTTGGTGTTTGTACCAGTCGTGGGATAGGTCAACACAGAAATCTCACCTCACTCACCAAGGTAAATTATGGAGGGTCTAAAACAGGAAAATAAGACACAGTAATACAAAGTGTGCTTTATTACTTTGAAAATATTACTAAACTCCTCAGAAACTGCAATCACAGTTAATATGACAGTACTGTGTTAAGCTAGGAAAAGATGGAATGCAATTTTGTTACAGAATTGCTCATGTTACAGTAGTTCACAAAGAAATGCCTGTACAGCTGGTTGCTTTTTCCTCATTGTCCTTTGTCATGAAATTTCTTAACTACTTAAGAAAGCAAATATATGTAATGAGTCATTTTTATGGCATATGTTATTTACAAAGGCCCATTACTGAATGATTGTCTTTACTTTTACAAGCATCTCTTGCTCCACTACCAACACTGCTCCAAAGTAAGTCATGCCTGAATGTTTGGTATGTAACTACATGATGTCAATGAACTTAACATTTTCACTGAAAACACACAACCAGCAGTGTCTTACCCACTTTGTTCTGGCCAAAAGCAAGACTTTAAGATCTGCTGCTGGAGACAGTTCCATGCATTCACAACCTGTACCTCAACATGTGTGATGGTGGAGCTGCAGCACGTCTCAGGGCTGTAATCTGGCAGTGGCTGATGGATGTTTTCCCATTTCAACCACCACGTTAACCATGCTTTGTCCCACGGAAATCAGTGGTCACTCTCCACGTGTGCCTGGATAATTCCTGCGTGCCCTCACCCCCGAGTCACCAGGCACATCCTGGGTGCTGAGCTGGGCTCAAACACGTATAAAAACACAGATAAAAAACATGCAAAAAACCCACATATAAAACCAGCCTTTTACAGCACACATTTATCACCTTTTCCTGCTGAAAGGCCTTGCTGTGAGACAATCTTTAACTATAGCATTAAATAACCCCCCCTCAAAAAAAAAAAAAAAAAAAAAAAAAAAACAAAAAAAACCAAAAAAAAAAAAAAAAAAAAAAAAAACAAAAACTAAAAAAATATGATTTGGGGTCTGGAACATCTCTTTTGAGAGAATGTGGAAGCCTGTTTATTCTCGAGAAGGCTGAGAAGGGATCTCCTTAATGCATATAACTATCTCAGAGGTGGGTGCCAAGACCTTGGTGCCCGGCTCTTTTCAGTGGTGCCCAGCCACAGGATGAGGAACGATGCCATGAACCGAAGCACAAATTCCACCTCTCCGTGGAGAACTCTTTTCACCAAGGACGGCAGCGCAGGGCCCAGGGCGGCGGTGGGCCCTGCCTCCGTGCAGACATCCCACACCCGGGCACCTTCCCGTGCCACCTGCGCCGGTGACCCTGCCGGGGCAGGGGGCTGGCCCGGACCAACCGGAGCTCCCTTCCCCTGGGACCGAGCCGCTCCGGGGATTCTGTGCGAACCCACTTCCCTGCGGCAGCCGGGTCAGAGCGGGGAGAGGCGCCGCACACCCGCGGTGCCCAGCTCCGGCGGCCACTGCCGGCCGCCCTGAGGGACGCCCTGAGGAACCTCCCGTCCGCTCTGACGGACGCCCTGAGGAACCTCCCCGCCGCCCTGAAGGACCTCCCCAGCTCCCGCTGTGACGGACACCCTGAGGAACCTCCCCGGTGCCCGCCCCGCCGGACACCCTGAGGGCCGGCCCCGCCAAAGCGCCCTCACAGCCAGGCCACTTCCGCCCCGCCAAAGCGCCCCACCCGGCCATATGACGGCTCGACGGGCGGAGTGACAGCTCCGCCGACCAATGGTACCGCGCCGCTGCCGGAGGCGGGGCAGGGCGCTGGCGGAGTGACAGCACCCTCGACCAATGGCGCCGCGCCGCTGCCCGTGGGGCGGGGCCGGCGGCGGCGGTGGGCGCCGGGCCCTGCGGGCGGGCCGGGAGCGCGGCGGGGCCGGGGACGCGGGGCCATGGACGAGGCCGAGCCGAGCGAGCGCAGCCCTCTGCTGAGCAGCGGCGAGCGCGGGCGGGCGGCGAGCAGCGCCTTCCAGGGCCGGCGGCTGGCCTGCGCCGCCGTGCTGCTGGCCGAGCTGCTGGAGCGAGTGGCCTTCTACGGCATCACCTCCAACCTGGTGCTGTTCCTCAACGGGCCGCCCTATGGCTGGGAGGGCGCGCAGGCCAGCCAGGCGCTGCTGCTCTTCATGGGCATCACCTACCTGGTGTCGCCGTTCGGGGGCTGGCTGGCTGACGCGCTGCTGGGCAAGTTCGGCACCATCCTGCTCAGCATGGCGCTCTACCTGCTGGGCATGCTGGCCTTCCCCGTCATCGCCGCGCCGCACACCCGCCAGGGCCTCTGCGGGGACATCCCGCTGTTCCCCGTGGAGAACTGCTCCTCGCCGGCCGCCAACGCCACCCTGGCGCCCTGCTCGCAGGTGGGAGCCACCCGCTACTGCGCCACCGCCACCTTCGTGGGACTGGTCCTCGTGGGGCTGGGCGTCGGCTCGGTCAAGGCCAACATCACCCCGTTCGGGGCAGACCAGGTCAAGTATGGTGAGGCACGGGGTGGCAGAGGGGCTTGCCGTGCTGGGCTGGGCACTGCCAGCCCACTGACCGCTCTGTAGGTGCTCGGCCTTGGAGGGAAGCGCCTCGTCCAGCTCTGTTCCCTGTGCTGGTTGTTAAGCTGGGCCCTGTTTGGAGTAATTTTGGTGCCTGTGGGGTGTCAGGTCCCTTATGACCCTTGGTTTCCTGGTTACTCTGCCTGGGGTCACCCCCACCCTCTGTGGGGTCTGAGTTGGCTCAGCCATCAGCATCTTGAGGACTTGGCTTGAATATTTAATGGCCATTAAGTGGACTGTTAATTGTCCTCACTGGTGAGTTTGTGACCTCAGAGCTCATCGGATGAAGTACAAGATACACATTTTAGCTGTGACAAGGATGACGTGGGCAGTGTCAGAGTCCTTTACCATCCTGTGACAAAGGAAGGCTGCAGAAGAAGCAGTTTTCATGCTGTAGGTGTTTGTGCACTGCATTGCCCTTGAGGGGCATTTCTGTGCAGGCTCGTGCTGCATCACATGATGGGGGAAGCTGCTCTGGCCGTGGCAAACATCACCTGGGCTGCTCCGTAAGGACACAGCCTGTCAGATAACCTTATGGGGACCCGCCACAGTGATGCCATCCATTGGGTCACCACTGCAGGACCCAGGGGTGCACAGAAAACGTCTGAGAGGCAACCTGCACTTCAGCAGCAACTGGAATGCTGTTACATGTAGTTGTTTTACAGTCCTGTGCTGAGGCAGTGTGCTGGCTGTGGATGTTGAAATGTAATTTCTGCTTTGCAGATGGAGAATTTCAGTATGCTCAGGAGCAGCTTTTTTAACTAAACTGAAAGTCCAGTGGCATGTGTGTTTGCTGGCTCCAAGTTCTGGCTAGAGCAGGTATCAGAAATGCCATGAATTCTTTGAAAGAGGGAGAATCCACCACAGAATCACTGCCAAGCATACCTCTGTTCTCTCTTGTGCAGTTTGCATTTGTCATTCTTTGGCATTTTGTGTATTCTGAATTCTGGGTGAAAGGCAGTATATAAATGTAAAACATTATTATAGCCCAGGATTGTGTGTCCCCAGTGCATTAGCTCTGCTTAAGCCAGCCTGAGCCCATCAAGTGAAATAGCTTTAATGTGACTTTATCTTGTAAGGTGTTTTTCAAAACTGACTGCTCATCCCCAGAACGCTTTATGGAAGTTAAACATGGGAGATAAATAATGGCAGGAACAGAGCAAAAGGAGAGCCATTGCCAATGGAAGTGTAGCTGTTGTAGCTGGATTTTGTAAAGGCTTTTCCCCCAGGATTTCAAGGAAAGCAGGTTTTGGCTGGGTTTGCAGATAATTCACAGTGATTTATGTAGGGTGAAGCAAAAGAAATACTCCTTTCTGGCCCATAATAATCAGTGGAGCTCTGCCGAGGCCTGAATTTTTCCCCTTCTCTCTTTTTCTGGCTTATCTCTTGTTAAATATATTACAGCATGCCACTTACCTTGGAGTGCAGCTTGGGGCCCTCTTGGGTGCCTTTTCCCTGCACAGGAATGTAGAAAACTGTTGGGGAGATGAGTGTATATCTGTATAGCTGTGTATATCTATCTGTATCTATCCACCTATCTCTGCACCTGAGGATAGTCTATCCCAGAGCCACGTTCTTGGGAGGCCAGAGCACATTGCAAACGTGTTTTGGCTGGATGTGTGCTGGTAGGATTTGTCCTCTTTCCCCAAAGGAAAGGATGAATTGTGTCTCATGTACTTTAGTTGGCACCTTTCAGAACGTTAATTGCATTTCATTGCAGATCTCTTAAAAATTCCCGTGTGAATTTTTCAGCTTCAATGTGTGTATGGAATTGAGGTGGAGAGCTCTTGTATAATGAGAGATCTTTATTTAGCAGAACCACTTTGTGGAAGATCAGAAACTGAATTGCAATACTTTTCTCTGAAGTTGGAAGCTGTGGTTCCTAACTCTGTTGAGTGCCTGCTTTTACAAGTGCTGTTAGAGTTAGGATGGAGTAACTCCCACCAGTGAGTTTAGCAAAAGGAGTTCTGCAAAGCTGGGACAGAGCAGCTTTTCTCAAGTGTGTTTATAAACGTTTCTCTAGAAGTTGCAGCCTGCTCCAGGGTGCTGTGTGAATCTGAGGGATGGTTCTAATGGTGTTTCTAAGCATGTGATCCCATAACCTGGCACTTCCAGTTCCCCTTTCCAGTGAGTGTTTGCTGCCACTTCCCGTTCCCCGGAGCAGCCTGTGACTTTCTGCAGTTAGGAAACAACAGGACTGCTGCTCATTATTGTGAAAGCTGGTTCAGCTTCAGCGCCGAGGCCAGAATAGTAGCAGACTCCTAATCTGGTCTCAGCCATAATGGTTCTAATTTTAGCTGGCTCTGTTTCAGGGTGACAGCGATGAGGGAGGCCAGGTTTCACCCACGCTGTGCTGCCCTCTGAACTGCCCAACAGCCAACGAGTCCACCAGGCCATAACTGCCACAGATCTTCCAGCTCTGCTAAAATCGGTGCTTTACAGTTGCTGTTGGAAATTGCTGCAGTAAAGATGGCTTTAGAGTGATTTCCAGCCTTTATTTATTTGTAGAGCATAGATTTTCCAGCCTCTGGATAAGGATGGGGAGCCACGTATAAAGATTTGAAGAGCCTTGACTGCAACTAGTTTTGTTGTTGCTGCTGTCAAACTTCTTATGAGCCTGTGGACCTCGAAGGCTCTGCAAAGAACAAGTTTGAAACAAGTTGTGGCATTCACAAGGCCAGTAATAACAGATGGGAGAGGAACAGACTTTATCTGTGGGCTTGCTGAATTTCAGTATAAAACTTTGAAATTATGTAGCAGCTGACTAATACTGTGCAGCTCAGCTACCCAGCTCTCTCAGAGGGTCTCAGAGAATAAGTGGTTGTCTGCAGTGGTGGGTTAGAGGGTGAGGACTCTGTAAATCTGACAGCACAGAACTCTTGTCACTGTACCTTCTTCGGTAGGCTGAGGACGAGGACAGGCTCCTCTGTTCCATCCCTGCTGTGTTGTGTGGTTGCTCTCAGAGCTCACTGGGATGAGTTTGGGGGTGTTACATTTTTCACTTGTGACTATCAGTTGACTGTAGGAACAAGTGAAAACTACCACTGGCAGGAACTTTTGAGTGGTCATGTTCCTTTCATGCAGGGTTTTGACAAGACATCTTCATAGTTCTTTGTCTTTGAGACGATATTCCACCAGGGATTCAGTGGGACCTTTATTCAGTTATTAATGTTTGCCAGTTAAATGCCGTAGTGGCATTTCAGATGTGGCTGTGATGTGATTTTTAGTGCAAATATATGCTTTGATAAAGAAGGAGGAGATGGATTCCTTGCATTGTAAGTCTGTGGTGTGTCTGTCCTTTGAGCACTGCCTTCCTTTTGGTCACTGCTACAAAAAGGACCCTGGAGACGGTGAGGGAAGTTTCCAGGAAGGGCCACAGACATGGTCAGTAGTTTCCAGGTGAGGAATGACAAATCAGTCTAAATTTCCTACCTCTGAAAAGGCAGAGAAAAGGAAGATGTGACAGTGGTTTGTGCCAGCAGTGGAGCAGGAATGGGATGGAGCTCAACTCTGGAGCAGGAATGGGATGGAGCTCAACTCTGGAGCAGGAATGGGATGGAGCTGGGCTGTCACTGGAGCAGGAATGGGATGGAGCTGGGCTGTCTCTGGAGCAGGAATGGGATGGAGCTGGGCTGTCTCTGGAGCAGGAATGGGATGGAAGTGGGATGGATGGAGCTCAGCTGTCGGTGCTGTTTCCTGGAACAGGGTGAAAGGAGCGAGGCTCAGACAGGGCGGGTTCAAAGCAGGTGAGTGGAGCACTCCTTCCCACTGTGCCATTACCTGTGGAGCTCTCTGGCACAGGATGTTGTGGGTTCTGAAAGCTGACCTGGGTTCAGAGGCAGGTTACACGAGCTCATGGAGAGGAGAGCTGCTGCATTGATTAAGCAGAGAGAAGCCATCCTTGGTTCCGGAAGTTTCTCAGGAGCTAATGGTGGGAGGCTGGGATAATGCTTGACAGAAGGCTCATGGTGTGCTTCCCTGTTCTTACCTGCATCAAAGCGTGCTTTCTTCTGCCAGCTTTCCTTTGTAGAGATGTCAGCAAGGTCATGTGCAAGAGGGAGGATGAGAAGTCATCTGCCTTGCAGAAATAAGAGAACTGAGACTTTGTGATGAAGAAACGGAAACTCCATCAAACAGATTGCTAACACTTAGACAAGCTGGAGCACTGTGTTCTGTGTAATTGTTTGCTAATATCCTGCTGCTCATTGGGCTTTAGGAGGAATTCCTAGATTGATCCACTGCTGCAGATGATGAAAGTTAGGAATTGAGTACCAAGTTGAAGCTGGAGAGGGAGAATTTCTTGGGTTTAGTGTCCAGGATTGAGTTTGACATTCTAACAGAGGCACCTGAATGCCTGGCAGTGCTATTAACTGTGCACAGGAATTGATACTTTAACATTTCCTCTGTGGGACTTGGCTAAATGGTACAGATGGGTTTGTGCACCACTGGGAAACCCAAAGCTGTTAATCAGAACTGGCAGTGTTAAAAACTCACTTATAAGGCACAGCTTGCTTTTCATACTGCAAACTAAATATGGGTCTGTTGAAGATGTGGCAAATGAGGAGGGGAAATTTGCAGTTACAAATGAAAAATAACTGACTCAGCCATGGCACTGACTTGCTAGCCACTGTTAATGGCCTTTCAGTCATCAGCCACTGACAAACACAGTGTTATGGATTCTTCTACAGACTACTTGATCTTTTTAATGTATTTCAAATTTAAATTTGCGTCATTTCTCTTACATCACCTCTTATGAGTGATGCTGGGTTCCTTGAACTGAATTACAAAATGTGGGGTAACTTACAATAGACAATAATAAAGAGGGATGGTGAAAACTGTACAGGATAGTTCTGTAAACCAGGGATGGCTTTACTTTCACTGGAGAGACAGTGAGAGCTTCAAGCAGAAAAAAATAACACTATGAACATCACTGACTTACAGGGATAAATATTTACTGGGGCTTTGTGATCCTCAGGCAACCCAAATTTAATTAATTTTTTTAAAGGTCCAAAGGACAAGTGCTCAATTTCTGTTCTGATGAGAGGCATTAATACTGTTAAAAATTAAATTTATTGTTTAATTACCAAGTATTCATTTGAGGCTTAGAAAATGGAATAGTGTTAACTGTTATGTAAATGCAGTTAGAAGAAGCAATTGTGGCAATATTTGAATTTTTAGGCAGCTTAACTTTTTGTTACTGAAAAATAGTTACTTAAACTCCTGTGGACTGGGATGTTAATCTGAGGGAGCTTTTTGTAGAGAAATGACCCAGGGAGAGTCAGTGCAGTAGCAATAAGAGTGGCCTCTCTGGGGAAGCTGTGTCTCTCAGTAGTGTGCCTTTTTTATCCCTGTGCTGAGCTTCTAGAAGGTTACTCACCTTCTAGAATAATGGTGCAGCTCTCACTGAGCTGTCATTTCATCAAATACATGTGAAGCCCAAAACACTTAAATCATTCCCGTGTGACTCTAAATGAAACCTGAGCTCTTCCGTGCATTCAACTTGTTTGAATTCTAATTCAAAGATTCTAATTCTGTTTAACCTTATTTTCTTCAGAAACTGAAGGGCTTGCTTTTAATCTTCTCCAGGTCAAAGACCGGGGTCCAGAAGCCACAAGAAGGTTTTTTAATTGGTTTTATTGGAGCATTAATTTGGGAGCTATCCTCTCTCTGGGAGGCATTGCCTACATCCAGCAGAACGTGAGCTTTGTGATCGGGTACAGCATCCCAACAGTCTGCATTGGCATTTCCTTCATGGTTTTCTTGTGTGGGCAGAGCTTCTTCATCACCAAACCTCCCGATGGCAGTGCCTTCACGGACATGTTCAGAATTCTCACATACTCCTGTTGCTCCAAGAAGAGCCACGGGGAGCACGCAGCAAACAGGTTTGTGACAGCTCTTCTGTGTGGCCTCCTTCAGTCAGCTAGGACTGAGCTCCTTAGCTCACACTGGCAGCTTTGCTCTGAGAGCTGGAGTCCTGGAGCTGCTTTCTGGGAGCTGAGGGATGGAAGAGGCACAGTGAGAGCACTGGGTGTCCTGCAGCCAGACCATGGTGTCAGCTGAGCTCTGCGTCCTGCCAGCTCAGCGTTCCTGAGGGTGTACCACAGCCTCACTGGGCTGCTCTCAGCATTAGTTAACTTTCTTCTCTGGCAGATATGTTTGTGGATGCCTTCTGATTTGAAAAGCACTGTCATCTGCATTTAATGCTCTAAGTGGCTTGGTGGGAGGCCAAAATTCTTCCACTCTTAAGAGCTGCCCAGGAATACTGGTGGTTGAGTTGAATCACTGGTAAGAGGTGTCAGGTGCCTCTGCAGTGGGCTTGCATGTGTTCAGATTGCCAAACAGTTCAGTGACTTAACCAGCAATATCACAAAATGCAGGCTACTCCAGGTTCTGCCAGTTATTCAGGGCTGGGCTGTGTGGGGAGGATGGGAAATAAGGAAACTCCATGGCAGAAGATTTCCTCTCGTGTTTCCACCCGCTGGGGATCCATTCTAGCCTAGCTGTGTTGCTGTAACTTACATGAATTACTCATTTTGGAAATGCATTAGCTTTTTATAAGGAAGATTGCCAGTTATGTGTAACTAAACATCTCAAATCCTTTTCCAAAGTGAAGGCCAGGGAGTGCTGCACCCGCCTCGCAAGCAAAGCCTCTTTGAGATGGCCAAGCTGTCTCGGGGGGGCCCCTTCAGAGAAGATAAGGTGGAGGATGTGAAAGCTCTTGTCAAGATTATCCCTGTCTTTCTGGCTTTAATACCTTACTGGACAGTGTATTTTCAAGTGAGTAGTTCCAAATGGTTACAGTAATATTTTACATAATTTCTAATTTAACATTTTCGGGGTGTTCTCTTATAAATAGGAAACTTACCTTGAAGTTGAGAGGTGAAAAATGACTACTAAGGAATGCTCTCAATAATATTTTGACCTAATAATAGAAAAAAAAAAAAAAAATCATTGCAATTGTAGTTAAGACTCACAGTTGTACAAATTCACATCTCTTAAATGCTGTGCTGTGTTTCATCTTTCAGCTGTTTCATATAGGTCAGGCTTACTGGTCTAGACCTCGTTTTAATTTTCAGGTTCTGCCTTATGGAGATGATTCAGAATATCAGATACATTTTGGGCAAAAGAAACAATGCAGAAATTGTTTTCAAAGACACACAAATGATTCTTTGTGTTTTTAGTAAAAATAGCTACAAGGTTAAAAATTCTCGTAATGTTCTGACCGTAATTGTTTTCAGTTTGCTGTGTTAGCATTTCACCTCTGGTGTAATCTTTGTTAATGGTTACAAAATGAAAAATACCTTGCTCTCGGCACTCCTTGTCCAAGTAATCTCAACTCCTCTTTCCTAATGCTAGATGCAGACAACGTATGTGCTGCAGAGTCTCCATCTGAAAATCCCCGAGATCTCCAACGACACCAACTCCATCCACACGGTGAGCAGAGCAAAACAAGAGCCAGGGGCCCTTCTTTAGTGGGAATGCAGGTTAGGTCAGCGTGGTACAGAAATTCCAGGCAGTTCAGGCAGTGCCTTTGGGGATCAGGGGCCTCAGCCTCTGGGGATTTAGGAGCACGATGCACATCCCAGATTTTGTCACACCAGGGGTCTGGAGCTCACACCAGCCTGCCCTGATGCATCCAGGTAACTCTCACTGCTTTCATCCAGTTTCTTTGTCCTTCAGTGGCCAAAGTCTGACCTTTGGAGAAAGCTGATGGATCTCCACGCCCTGAGTTTCCAGAGCAGGACAGAAGCATTCCTGCAATCCCAGTGGGAATGCATCCCCATCCTTCAGTGATACATTAGCACGTGGAATTGGAGACACATTTGTTACTTTAGACTGCCTAATCAATAATCACTTTACCTTCAGCATATTGAAAGAAGCTGTTCAATCAATACTTCTCAAGAAAGGCTGGCACCATGTGATTGCAGAAATGGTACAGAGAAGTAAAACACAGGGTTTACAGGATTTACATGTGTTACACCACCCTCTCTAGTCATTTGACATGTGTAACTTGATTTTAATTGAACTTTGCATTTACATTAGTAAGACTGTTTCTGCTCTTCTGTGGTATATTTCTGATAGTTCTAAGCTTAACAGGAGACAGACAGAGGTTGGCTATTAAATATTTTTCATGACTGAATTATTCAATTCTGTCAGATGAGAAACTGGGCTTACAGTGTATGAGCAGCCAAATTCAATGAAAACCTGAACAGCTGAGTATTTTCTTCAGCTTTTAAACACTCTTATTTGAATTTTCATAGTGTCTGTCAGTGCATTGCTGTTTATTTTGGATCAAAGTGTTCAATCAAAACTTTATTTGTATAATAATAGTTAAAATTAGTATAATAATAGTAAAAATTACCTCCTGAGTATGAAATTGCCCACTGGAGTCATCTCCCCTTTCAGTTCCCAGCAGCCTGGCTGACCATGTTTGATGCAGTGCTTATCCTGATCCTAATACCCCTAAAAGACAAACTGGTGGACCCCATTTTGAAGAGGAATGGCTTGCTGCCATCCTCACTGAAGAGGATTGCAGTTGGAATGTTCTTTGTGATGTGCTCTGCCTTTGCTGCAGGTAAGAAAACGACTTGGACATCTCCTGACACGGTGAATTGTTCAGCTCACTGCAACAGCATTTTCTAAAGAGCTGTGTGAATATTTAATTCAGCATTATTCAGATGTTTTTTAGTGGGATAGTTGGGATGTGCCTTCATGGGTGCATTTCCCTCAGTAAAGGGGATTGCATCCAACAATTTACTAAACTGTTTTGAACGCTTGCAATAAAATAGGACCATTTTTTCCTGCCTGAAGTAGACTTTGCATATACCCTTTAAAAATGTTTCTTCATACATTCTGACTCACAAGTATAAAAAAGCTGAAATTTTACCCAAAATCCTTTCCCCTGCTCTGAAATAAAAAAGTTAGGTTAAAGCTGAACAAGAGTTTCCTCCCACTTTGGGTTTTCTCCCCCCTATCTTCCTGTTCCCTAATGTTTGGGAATTAGTGTAGTGTAAAATAACTCAGCTGTGGCATGAAAGGGAAAAGATGGCAGCTCTGCTGGCCCCATAAATCAGCTGCTTTGGAGATGATCTCAAGTTGTTAAGTGCTGCTGATGTGGAACTGAACATCTCTGAGCAATGCTTCACAGAATCTATAGCCCTCACCAGCATCAATGTAATGAACATCCTGATAAAGCATTACAGCATTAAATAAATTCATTGCAGCACTTGGGATCCCCTGTATTGTAGGGAGAGGGACACTTTGTATGGTTATTAAGATTTCTTTCAATGAGAGAGGTAATTATTAGGCCAAGGTCACTTTGTGGGCAAGGAAAGTTCTCAAGCAAAGTGACATAAAGTTAAATAGAAGTGTTTCTCTTATTCCATGTTTCTCAGGACACTGCTGCTGCAGAGAGGATGATGTAAAACACTTAAATGTCAGCTCTTTAAATAGAACCTGTGGGCTCACATATGAGGGAATTCAAAACCAGCAATATCTGTCTTTATTCTAGTGGGGAAGAGCACATCATGTGATGGCTGAGTTGGGGAATGGGTTCCTACAGCAGAATTCCTTAAAGTTTCTGATGCTTTTTTCAGTTCACCTACAAATGTAACAAATTCTTTTGTTGGTTTGATTCTCCCCAAGTCTGCCCCAGTAGAAACTGAAAAGGTGAATTCTTTGGGTGATTATTTGCAATCTGTTTGGAAAGTTTGACCTTTAGGAGTAAATTGACATCTCTTCATCATAACAGGAATTTAAGAGCTTCAGTTGTGACAAATTTGGGGTTTAGGAAACTGTTTATTTCTAGCAAGGTGTTGGTTTCTAGGTTTCATTCAATTTTTATTTTCTCATTAAGTGATATTTATAGCTGCCATGTTTTAGCATCCTTAAAATACACTATCACTTCCAACCACTGCCTTTGAGAGGAACACTGAATGAAATCTTAAACACATGAAAATGTCAAGAATTTGCAATCATTGCAAGAACTTAATGATTTGTTTGTGCCATATTTCCATTTTGACTTGCTTATCTAACAGCCATTAGTTGTGGACACTACTCAGGCTGCCTATTAGATTGGTTAGATTATTTAAAATATTTTATAAACTGTGTTAAAGTACAACTGATTAGATTTAATGAACATCTGCTGTGCTTCATGCATCTTGTGGTGAATTCTGAGCAGCAATGTTCACGGTTATTCAGCTGGAAAATCTACTTCATTTATAGAGTTTAAACCATTACAGCAAGAAGTTCAGATTATTTTAACTACTAAGAGTGTAAAATTAAATATGAAACTTGTCTATCAAAGTCTTAAGGGAAGAATCAATAGATTCCAGATTCTGAAGTACTTCAAAGATGAATTTATGGCAAAGTTTGGTATATTGTAATTGTGCTCCTAGGTGGCTCAATGCTTATTTTGTAAGAGTATAAACACATTAAGATCACTTGATGTTTTGAGGTGCAACAATTCTGTGTTGAGTGCAAATAAATTAAATTGTGTCTGAGCTCTTAGATGACTCTACTGCTTTGTTTACACTTTAATTAGGTTCCACTCTAAAGTGTTTGGCAGCTATATTAAAATTAAAACATCAAGAAGTCCAGTTTTATTTTAATTACAGCAGCCCTTCATAGTTCAGAGGGCACTGAGGTAGGTGAAGAGCTAAAGAAAGATACATAAAAACAAGATGGGTCACCTAAAAAGAACTGAGGAATATAGAGAAAATGTGGTGGCTGGCCTGACATGAAGAAGGAAAAAATTCAGACCAATCTTTACCTAAAATCTCAGATGTTAGTGAGACATTTGGCACTGTCACTTAGCACAGAGGTGCTGATCTGGCTGCTCCCCTCAGTGTTTTATGTCAGACTTGGGAAGGCACAGGAGAGCAGGAACCATGCTGTACAGCAGGAATTGTGAACATCAGGAACTGGGATTGTTCTGGGAACCTTGCTGTACAGCAGGAATTGTGATTGTTCCTGTGAACCATGCTGTACAGCAGGAATTGTGAACATCAGGAACTGGGATTGTTCTGGGCACCTTGCTGTACAGCAGGAGCTGGGATTGTTCTGGGAACCATGCTGTACAGCAGGAACTGTGATTGTTTTGTACAGCAGGAGCTGTGATTGTTGTTGTGTACAGCAGGAGCTGTGATTGTTTGTACAGCAGGAGCTGTGATTGTTTGTACAGCAGGAGCTGGGATTGTTGTTGTGTACAGCAGGAGCTGTGATTGTTTGTACAGCAGGAGCTGTGATTGTTGTTGTGTACAGCAGGAGCTGTGGTTGTTGTTGTGTGCAGCAGGAGCTGTGGTTGTTGTTGTGTACAGCAGGAGCTGTGGTTGTTGTTGTGTACAGCAGGAGCTGGGATCGCTCTGGGAAGCGCTGCCAGAGGCAGAGGGGCTCAGGGCTCTCAGAACGTGGCCATGGCACTGTTGGCACTGTGGGTGCTGCAGGAGAGGGGGGCTGGCAGGCAGGAGGCAGAGGAGTCCCTGCACACCCTGGGGTGGCACGAGGCAGCCTGGCTCACCCTGCTCAGGGCTCTGGGGACACGTTCTGGGTCCCAGGTGAGGGCAGGTCGGGCTCAGGACAGAAAGAGCCCCGAGCTGACAGCACTGAGGGAGCCTGGGAGTGTCACCACGCTGCTCAGCCCTGCTCCTCTGAACTGTGATGAATAAATTCACCTTATTTCCAAGGATAAGAGACAAGAGTGCCTTTACAGAGGTGTCTTTTGGGTGCAGCAGAGAGTTTTATTAACTGTTAGCTATTCTGTGTATTTTATGGAACTGTGAGTCGTTTAATCTGAACAACTTCAACAAAACCCCACAGCATTATTTGATATTCACTTTCTACCCTAAACTGTTGTGCTGAGCAAGCTAAAAATGCTTATATTTTACACTATCCTGTCTCTTTTTCATCCCATATGAAGTTCTTTCTATGCAATGTATTGCTTGTAAATCAAGCTCTAATGAGCTCTTGGATCTTTTTGGATGAAAAGTGTCATATAAATGTCATAATTGTATTCATAGAGGGTTTTCATAGCTCTGCAGGACTGGTGGAGCCATTTCCATAAGCAAAAGGGTTTCTAATTTATGAATACTATGGTGGCAGTTGAAATGGTTCAACAGTGCAAAGTAGTAGTTTGTGAAAATGAAATTGTCTTTAAAAAACCCCAGCACAGTGTCCATGAGAGCTCTGAGCTGATCCATCCAGAAATGGGCTAAGTGTTTGTATAATTATTGCTACTGAATGAGAATATAATCACTAATTCTATGGCAGAACAACTATGTCTTGAAATAACAACAGCAGAAATAGTCTGAAATGCTTTATGTCAGGAAACAAATACATATTCCTATTGTATCCTTTCTAATTGCAGTGCAGGGCTGAATCCTAATTTAATTCTTAATGTGGAGAAACAGTGTTTGCATCTTAGGTCAATCTTTTTTCCCTCCCCTTTCACACAGGAATTCTGGAAAGCAACAGACTGAAAATTGTGAAGGTTAAAACAATTAACCAGACAATTGGGAATGTTACCTACCATGCTGCAGATTTGCCAATCTGGTGGCAGATTCCTCAATATGTGCTGATTGGATTCAGTGAAATCTTTGCAAGTATAGCAGGTAAGAGTGTGTGCTTAAATCTGCTTTTGTATCTATCATAAACCACGGAATCTTAGAAAATAAATACTTCTCAAGTCATTACAGGTAAGCTCTGATGTTCCCAATACATTTTTATGCAATAGTGCTCAGTTGAAGTGGCAGAGCTCACCATTGTCTTGCACATTTGAAGCCTGGCTATGTAAGACTGTGCTTTCAAAACTGAATTTCAAGCAGTGACACCTAAAATATTTGTGTGGCATCTAGTTAGTGCTGGATATTTGCAAGCCCTAATGGAAAACAATCTACTCTTTCAATAATGTATTTTAATGCAGTTTTGTGTCCTCTGAATATTCCTCTTGTGTTGGAAATACAATTTGTACTTTGTGATTTTTTTTTTGGTCACAGTTTAGAAAGTCAGTTAGTAAGTGGAAACACCTGTCTGAGGGCAAAGGGAAGAAATAAACCACATTTAGAAAGACTTACCAGTTTAAATTCGTGTTACTTGAGCTTTTCCATCTGCAAAATAAGAAAAGTTTTCGTGAATATTAATAACGAAGCAGCTATTTTTATATAATTTTATCTACTTTATTTCTAGATCAGTTTTTCTGTAGCTGTTCCAGTAGTTCAACGTGACTCTAAGCAAACTGAAACTCTGCTCACATTTTGTGTGTCTTGAACAAATGAGGAGATGCCCAGTGCCCTGCAGGGCCTGTGAGATGCTGTGTGCTCACTGATTCCTGAGCTGCCAGTGGAGGAGGAGAGGAGTAGAAAGTCAGCTGTTGTGGTGTGTTTCCTGTAAGTGCAGGCTCACACAGGAGAGCTCAGGGTGCTGCCTGTGGCTTCCCTGCCCTGTTTGCTGGGCTGGCACAGCTGAAATCTCCTGGGACTCTCTCAGCACAGGTTTGCTCACGTGCTGTGGAGCAGGGCTTGGTTCCCAGCACAGAACAGCTCTGAGAGTCCAGGAGCCTCTTTGGCACTGCTGCAGTGGGACTGCAGCTCCTGTGCAATCCATGCAAACCCCCAGTGCCTCATGTAAAACTCACTGTAAACCTCTTTGGCATGGCTGCAGTGGGACTGCAGCTCCTGTGCAATCCATGCAATGCCTCCAGTCCCTCGTGTAAAACTCACTGTAAACCTCTTTGGCACTGCTTGTAAAACTCATTTTAAACCTCTTTGGCACTGCTGCAGTGGGACTGCAGTTCCTGTGCAATCCATGCAATGCCTGCAGTGCCTCATGTAAAACTCATTTTAAACCTCACTGCATTTCTGCTTGACTACAGTCCCTTATTAAGGTGTTGAATTCTCTTTGCAAACACTGCGCTGTGAGGCTCATGCTCTCCAACTGGCTGCACCCACAGCTCCTTTCCTTCGACTGCTGGTGGCAGAGCTCCTGTTTCACTTCCCCTGGGGGAGGCTACTTTCATTCCTGGGCAATCACAGTGCCTGAAGTGAGAGCTCTGCTTCTGGGAGCTCTTGCTGGCCGTGGCCCCAGCTGTCACACGGGCCATTTGTTCCCCTCTGAGTGGAACAGAGAACTTCTGCTCCACCAGGTGTCTGCTTACTCGTGGGCTGCTGTCATCACACTTGTTAGGAAATAAAATAAGGTGCTTGCATTGCTTGGCAAGGAGAATACAAGTGGGGTTTGTTGATTTTTCCTGTCTACTCATTTGCTGTCCATTTCATTATGTGTGTATGGTACCTGTCAGAGATGCCCACACGCAAAAATCTGAAGATAAAATCTTGCCTGATTTAGTTAGTTACTAAAACTAAGGCTGTATTTAGGATTTTTACCCAAAGAGTAAAATTAATTACTTGTGGTCATTTTAGTGGTGGTGCCACTGAAATCCTATCTCAGATAAACAGATGACTTATCAGAAACACAAGTGTTCATGGAAAATTAAACCAATTTCTTCTGTCTTACACAACCTTGTTTCTCTATCAGGTACTATTAATAGTTCATAGGGGTTTGCAAGGGAAAAATAGCAAACCTGTCTGCAGGCTGTGGAAAGGTCTTGAAGCACTTTCTGCTGAGCTCCAAGCTGAGAGGACTTCAGTGGAGTTCTCAGCCTTTAAGGCTTGCACAATTCTTAGGGGAATATTCTGTTCTGCACTGCTGGTCTGTGCCAACAACATTATAACTTTGAAAACTCTTGGTCAGTGTTTGAAAAAAATGTACCAGAAATTCTATGCAGAGCTTAATTGCTTTGGGTAGTGCACTTTCATTGGATTTTTTTGTACAAAGGCTCTCTCCTGCCTTCTGATTGTTATCTGAACACAATTCTTAATATTTTTAAGAAGGCCTGTCAAGACTCAGAGTGTACTTTACCAGTTCAGTATTAAACTTGATAAAGGAATCTACTGTGTTATGAAATCCAGGCTTAAAATAATCAAAGTTATTACTGGTTACAAAACCATAATGATGGGGAATTGTTTGTTGTGAGCAAAAAGGGACTAAATAGCACAAGAGCTGAAACATACCTCTGTTTTTGTGTTTACTGTAAAACTAAGCATATTCTTATTAAGCCACGTTAGTTACACTTGAGGTACCTTTAAAAAGATGACACACATTGCATTAATCTTTTGTATTATTCTGTCAGTCTCCTAAAGCACCCTTGTTTAGCTGGGAATTGTAATCTCACATGACAACAGCAGCAAGGCTTTAATTTCAGAAGGGCTTGTTTGCAGGAGCATGAAATCATTATCAATGGCTGCCAGCAGCCAAAGGAGCTCTGAAGGCAAAGAGAAGATTTTATATTCTTTATGCCAGATTAAATATTAGTGTTGCTGCAAAAGCCATTCAAATCTAGAAATGTACCTTACTTTGTTGCAGAAAGTTCAGGGTTACGCTGGTTTTGGTTTTTGTTCTGAGTCTTAAAGTTTTTTCCAGCTGGAACAGTCAGATCCAGTGTATCTGTGAAATGAAGAAAAGAAAGAGCCCAGATCCTTTCACGTGTTACACCTGGGCTTAACTTGCACAAAACACTCAGTGGCCTGGTGCCCAGGCTGTGGCTGAGGCTCAGGAGCCCTTGGCAGCTCTGATCACTTAACCAGAAGTCACAAACAAGCTGCTGTGTGCTCAGGGTACTCTGCTTGGTTTTTCTTAAAGTGCAGTTGGACAGGTGAGCACTCCTTGGGAAATCAGAATGGTTGAACTGGTGGCAGAGCCTAGGAAACAAAGGCAGTGTTAACTCTGGCCACAAGCAGCACTGTGCCCCTGCCCGCTGGCAGCTGTGTCTGTGTGTCCCTTTCTCTGGCTGTGCTCGAGTCAGGGAAGCCCCAGAGCTGAGCAGGGTGAGCAGTTTCAGTTCCCTGCTGGCCCTTTCTGCCCTGTTTGCAGAGCAGGGGAAGGAGCAGCAGGCTGGTGAGCGGGCACAGCTCAGGGGCAGGAGCTGCTGGGGGCTGAGAGCAGCCAGCTCTGCTTCTCTCCAGGAACACAGCCCCAGCCTGGCCCTCCTGCCTTCAAGTGTTCATCCTTTGCTTGAGGAGAAATGCCACTGGGTTTCTGTAAAAGCTGCCTGGAGCAGGCAGACAGCAGTGCTGCTGGAAATAAAGCATGCCTTCGTTATGCCAGACACAAGAGTTATGCAATTTCAGGTCTGTAATGCCTCTCCTTGCAAAGAAAAATGTTAGATGAGGTAGCATTAATTCCCAGTATGAGCAGACTGTTTTGAAACAAGCATTTCACCTGTCAGAAAAAGCTCTGCAAGGAATGTATTTGATTGTCTGCTGTGAATAATCCCATTTGATTTTTGACAGGAATATTATTCTAAAAAGGAGAGTTAATCATGGGCATTAATCTTTTGTGGCAGAGCTAACCCAGTGTGTGCTCTTGGTACACAAATTCAGTAGCACAGATTTGCAGATGGATGGCCACTGGTACCTTTTTCTTGGGTTTATTGGTTGAAATTTGAGCAAAGACAGCTGAAAGTTCAAGCCCTCTATCTACCAATCTTAAAAAGAATTGCTTGCTAGCAAGCAATGAACTCAGACAATTCTAGATCAAAAGTAAATGAAATTAAAATAATTACTGCCTTTCCAGTTCCAGTTAATTCCTCTGTCTGCACATTCAGAGACAGGGACACTGAGGCTGTAAGAAATAAATGTTCATGGCTCATGCAAGAGTGACTTTTCCTTGTCCTGCCTGCACTGCCCAGCAGCCAGGGAACAGGCAAGGTGGGAAACGTGGAACTGCAGGTTTGAGCTAGTTAAATTCATTTCTTAGGGGATAATTTTAGACAGAAAAATGAATATGTTGGTTCAGATTTGTTGATTTTACACATGGAACATAAATAAGATCAAAGTCTGTGTCTCAGCATTGGGTTGATACATTGATGAGCTTTGAGAGGATTCATAAAGCAATTAAAAGGAGCTGGGAACTGCCAGGGATTCACCACACACCTCTGGCTTCTAGAACACTTCTAGAACAATCTACTCTCATTTCTTACATACTCTAATAGCTTTTTTCATCTCTTAATACAGGCCTAGAATTTGCATATTCAGCTGCTCCCAAGTCCATGCAGAGTGCCATTATGGGGCTGTTCTTTTTCTTTTCGGGCATTGGCTCCTTTGTTGGCTCTGGATTATTGGCACTGGTGTCTATTAAAGAAATTGGCTGGATGAGTAATCACACAGATTTTGGTAAGTGTGTTTATCAGTGGGCTCCTGCTCTGGAAAGTAGAAGTTTCAGTTAAGCATCAAGGACATGGCACTGTTGAGTTTTAAAGCAGTTTTAACACGGTTATTATTTTCAAAATATTAATTTGTCTACTGCTCTGTTATAGTTTCATTTTGCATCTAAGCATGAAATAATGTGACTGTGCAAAATAATTCACTTTCCTCCTGAAAGCATGAGGAACACCTCTGTAGAGCCTCAGTTACTTCCTCAGCTGTTACTGCATTTCATCTCTAGAAATTACAAATATTTTCATTTCAGTAAAAAATATTTAAATTACGTGCAGCAGAAGAATATATTTGGTATAAAGTACTGAAATTGCTTTCTGTGGTTATGGGAAGTAAAATGTACCCATTTCTCTCCAAGTGATTATTCAGCTTCCTCATTTCAAGTGACTTCATTGAAATTACCATGAGTTAATTCTGCACTTCTGTCTGCTAGCTATTTATACTCCTAAAGTTCTACAAATCACCTGCTTTGAGTTGCCAGTGGAGGTTAAAAATAATTACTGGCACCAGTAGGTGGCACCTTGGGAATTTCAGCAAACCCTCCCATCCTCAGTGGGCTAATCAGCTCAACAAGGAGGAGTGTGAACAGTTCTTAAAATGTCTGCTAGACCTGCCATGTGTACATGGCTTAAAATTGCAGCCTAAACTTTCAGTTTGGTCCAAGAGAATTTGCCATTTCAACTGGATTTGCATCTACCAAAAAGCACTGGTGTCTGATTCCTGCATGTGCCACAAGTTGGCACCTGTGGCTTCTAAGCTGTTCTTTAAAAGCTGCAGAAGATAAGATTGTTCTTTAAAAGCTGCAGCAGCCTGAACCTTATGGAAGTGTCCTCCCCAAAGGAATATTTTCATCCCATTGAGACTTCTTTTCCCCAGTCAATTTCAAAATTGGAAAAGGAACCTTTTCTGCAATACAGAGATCATGCAGCTGGTACTGGCTCAGTAGGGAAGAATTCCCCACAAATAATGATGGTGCTTCTTCAGCCCCTTGCCCTTGTTCTCTGAAGCAGCTGACAGAACACACTGCCAAATCTCCTTTCTGTGAAATATTTGGGCTGTGCTAAATCTACCCAGAGGTGGCCAGCACTGGAAGGGGTTGGCTTTCCTGAGCCACTGGCATCACTCTGCTCAGCTCAGTGGCACTGGCACTGTCACACCAGCTGTTTGTGCCTTTCCCCAGCAGGGACACACCTGGCTCAGGTGATCTGCAGCTGCAGCACTCACAGCAGCCCCTGCTGTAACCCTCTGGAACTTTATAACTCCATTTTCATTGCTGTAGCAAGATGAAAAGTTAGCAGAGCCACAGCTGAGCTTTACCTGGGTTTTCCAGGGGAGGAATTGCAAGGAGTCAGTCAAGGAATGACTGGGGGCTGCTTCATGACATGCTGTATCACCACTGTAATCTCACATGCCCTAATTCCTATTTCTGCCATCTCATGACATCATTGGGGGTGACTGACAGCCTCCAAAAGCTCCTGAGGAAGTTCCCTCCCTGCCAGCACTTCAGGGGTGCTTGCTGCCATTGAATTGACTTGTTTCTGCCACCAAAACTAAGATTTCATGGGTTTAATATCCCATCTCATAAAGGATAATTACTGCTCTTTAAACACATCTGCTCTTGAAATGGAGATTCACATCTATATTGTATTTTAAATGTCAAGGAAAGGCTCAGTTTAATTTTATTGCATTTTATGATAAGTTCATTTAATTGAATCTTAAGTTTCAGTAATTAAAGCAATTTAATCTGAACGTTTATAGGCCTGCTGCAGGAACAGCTGGTTAGGGTCCATGTACACGTCACTGTTTTAGTCTCTGCAACACATCTGATAATTGTAATGGTCCAGTTGGCTGTGGTGTGCTGGAAATGAGCCACAATATATTGTTCTTGGAAATCCAGCAGGAGCTGGGCGTGCTTCCTAACAGAGGAGTGATGTTTTAGCAATGAGCTTTCTACATTTAACACTGCTCAGTGTCCAGAGCAGTAATTGAGGGAGCATCAAAGGTGAACTGGACCACAAAGAAGTCACCTATGTGTTCATGAACTCTAAACTTTGTTGCCAAAAAAGGCTGAGAAACAATTGCAATGATGGCTTTTTTATATCTGTGGAGTTGCCAACTTCTTCCTTTACAGCATTCATTTTTGGGGGTTTTTTTTATTTTCTTTTGACTTGGTCTAAGGCATTGGAGAACAAAAGAAAACATTGCTTATCCTGTGCACATCTTCCTCAGCAGTGCCAGCCTTTGCTGTGGATAATTAAAATGAACTTTGCTGTGGGATGGAGACGTGGTTTGGTTTGGTTCTGCAGAAAAGTCTCCACCACTGACCCTTGACCAGATTCACGTTTTCCTTTGTACCACCTCAGTTAATGCTTTTTTCCCTCCCCAATTCTTCCTAGGCAATATTAACGGCTGCCAATTGAACTATTACTTCTTCCTGCTGGCTGCTATCCAAGGAGCCACCCTGCTGCTCTTCCTCATCGTCTCCGTCAAGTACGAGCACCACAAGGGCAAGGCGGGCGAGGCGGCTGCCAACGGGAGGCTGTGAGCCTGGCACAGCTGCCAGCAGCACCAGGGAAGGGCAGTGCCCAGCTCTCCTGCCTGCCCAGGGACCCTGCAGCCCTGCCCGTGCCAGTGGGTAAGTGCCTTAGGGCAGGGCTGTGTCTTGCACTAGCCTGGCAGAGGTGAATGCCCTGCGGGCATCCGAGCTGCTCCTGCTCCAGGGGAGGTGTTTCCTGAGCTCCTGAGGCTGGCACACCCCGGGCAGGGCAGGGACTCACAGGGGCTGTTCTCACCCCCACTGGACACTGTGGATCACAGACACACTCTGCAGGCCAAGCCTGCCCCGAGGACACCAGGAGAGAAACCACTGACAGGAGCCTCAAGCAGCACGTGGGGTTCAGTGCTGGGAGTCATTCTGGGGTGACAAATCACATTACAAATCAGCACAGCTTCAGTTTTATAACTGACCTGTTACTGACAGTGTATCAAGGATTTCAGTCCACACTGAATCCTGAGTGCCAGGAGCTGTCAGACAGCTGCTGCAGGCTGCTGCACCATTCACACTCCTTGGGCTTGAAGCTGTTTGACTGCAGCAATGTTTTTATTTCTGAGCCTGCATTAGATGTGTTAGGACAACAGCCACCTTTGCACAAGGCCCTGTTCAGTCTAACACTGTTCCTCCCCTAAGGACTATTCCAAACATTTGCAGGAAGCAAAGCAAGCTGGAATTGTGAGCAGATCAATGCACAGTAACCATTCAGCAGCCTTTAGCCAGGTCCTTCCTTCTTGTCTTACTTTTAGTTAACGTGCTCCAGGGTTTGGATCTTTCAGCAACACATTCCTCCAGCAGAGCAAATGGCTTTATGTTCAGCCTCTTGAATTTTAATGATCCTAACAACTGTACTACTTCAGAGTGTGTGCAGACTGGTATGGAAGGTGCAAGGAATTATGCAGAAAGAAAATAAAGCCTTTTTATTAATGTGTTGAATTTTTATAGTTTCCTTTGTCTGCAGTTCTGTTGTTTAAAATGTCCTTATTTTGTACATGGACATCTTTTTAATGAGTTTACAAAATAAAATGAACCTCCATGCTGTGACTTTCGACCTTTTGTTTCTAGGTGAATAAAATTAAACTGTAACTACTTTGTTCTTTAGCCTTTATTTCCTGAAGACACAGTGCACTGGTGTTGGATTTCTGAATGTCCACAGGCACCCCATTAATTCTGTCAGGGACTACAGCAGTGTCCTATCCTTGCCCAGATAAATCAGCAAAAGTGCTTCAGCTGTTGCATTCCTCAGTATGATTTAAAACTGGAATGACTAAAGAATAATGTCTCTATGAGGAAAAACTAATTTCCTTTTCTGTTTTAGAAGCTCCATATGCTGTGTTTCTGGAATATCCCATTTATAACCAGGTAAAAAAGCATAATATTAGGAGAGTGGAAGCTGCATAAGAGACAGAACAGAGACCCAATATTTTTTCCCCTTTTTTGGCTGCTGTTCCCAAAAGAGAGCCAAGCTGTGGAGTTTCACACGTGCCTCACTGATGGCCGAGCTCCCCCAGGCCAGGCAGAGCTGGGTGTGCCTCCTGTGCTGTTCGGGAGCCTGCTGGAGCTCTGGCTCCCTGAGGTGTTCCCTCTCTGCAGCGCTGGCAGCTCTGCTTCTGCCCCTTGCTGGCCACCGAGCTGCATCACATGCACCGTTCCCCACAAGTGCTTCAATTTTATCCACAGCACCGACACGTTTCCCAGCTGCCAAGGGCTAAAGCTGAGTCTGCAGCCAGGAGAACAAGCTGCAAATGAGGGCTGTGGCAGAGTGAGAGCTGTGCAGGCCGAGCAGAGCATGAGCTTAGGGCCAGCACAGCACTGCTGCTCACCTGGGCTGTGTCAGTGTCCCCTGGCAGTGCCAGCCCTGAGCACCCTGCTGGTTCTGCACTCTGGAGAGCAGGCTGAACAGGCACTCCTGGTAGGATTTAATTTTCATTTGGGGTGGCTTGGCTCAGCTCCAGGCACAGGTAATTATGACCATTAATGAATGTTAATCTGACACTTCTCATCAGAGGGATGAGGCCTCTGAGTGACTCAAAGGCTCAGCTGATTCTTCCTCCCCATCTCATCTTCCAGTGCTTCCACCCCAGTCACAGAAATAAGAGCCAAGCAATTAACTCCATGACTGAGCACTGCTCCTCATTAATGAAATACCTTGAAGATTCAGTTTGAATTTTACATCCACTCCTTGGGTTGTTCCAGTGCAGTGGGAAGATCTGACAGGAGTTACCCTAATGGATGCTTTGAAGCCTTTGTCTTTCCAGGTGCCTTAAATTCAAAGCACAACACAGAAAAGCCCTTGTTCAACACGAGAGGAGGTCTCTCAGTGAAGTTTGGTACTTTGACTTGTAAAGAATTGTAGAAAGAATTAACATTGCAGGCTAATTACAGCCTCCCCAGGCTCTAAGCAGGGTGAGGCAGGGTGCCTGTGTTTTATTTGAGATTAGAAGGTGGGTGCATTGCTCATATCACGGTGGGTATTTCCAGAGTACAGCAAAACCTGGTTTTTCCTGCCTTTGTATCTATACTGAACATCCCTCCTCAAAAAAGGGGAGCTCTTTTCATTTATTCTGCTTATGTAAAGCTCCAGCATGAGTTCAATTACAGCACTTTAGACATCCATCACTATTTCCCTCAAAAGTCTGTAGTCACCTGTGAGCTGGTTTTATTTGTGTATTTCTGTGTTAACAGAAGTTGCTCAGGGCTGACATGAGACAAGGCTGCTCAGCCTGACAATAAACTGGAGTTAGAAGCTGCACAGAGTTCTTAATTTCCAAAAAGCAATTTCCAACACCAAATCTTATCCCAGTGATTTTGTTTCTATGCAGAGCAAGGCAAAGCCCTCTGGGGAAGCAGATTAGAGCAGCTTCCACTGAGCAGGAGTGGTTTGAGACAGATTCACTTCTGAGCAAGCAGAGAGAAACCCAGCAGAGCTGGTGACAGTGAGAGCCTGGGGCTGCAGGCTGGGCCAGGAGGTGAGACCCAGGGGCACAGCCACTGAACACAAAATGCCTTTCTTTGGTTCTTTTTCTGCTTCCTTATACGTATTTCTCACTGAAGCTGCTTCCCCTGCCAGGACACTGCAGAGCTCTGCCCCAAGCAGGCACAGAACGCTCGGGGATTCCCTCAGTGGGGGAATTCTGTGCCCAGCTGAGCTGGGACTGCAGCTGGGGGACAGAGCCAGCTCTGGGATGGAGGGACCACAGCCAGGCCTGCCAGTGTCCCAGCTGTGTCCCAGCACTGTCCCCAGCTGTGTCCCAGCAGTGTCTGTCCCCAGCTGTGTCCCAGCTGTGTCCCAGCACTGTCCCCAGCACTGTCCCAACCTGCAGCACCCCAGACCAGCTCAGACACTCAGCAGCCCCAGAGCATCCTCTGAGAGCTTCTCCTCCCCCTGCCAGGAGGTCTGGCCAGTGCTGAGGTGGGACACGAGCCCATAAAGCAGGGAGCAGAGCACTCCCAGGGACAGGGGACACTCCCAGGGACAGGGGACAAGGAGGGCAGCACTGCTCAGGCCGGGCAGGTGGAGCCCCAGCCAGACCAAGCAGTGTGTGACAGCTGGGACCCCTGTGACTGTCCTGGGTGCCAGCCCTGGGCAGGCTGGGCGGGCTGCAGTCCCCTCTGGAGCTCCCAGCCCGTGCCAGGACCAGCCTGGGCTGCTGCTCTGGGCACTGCAGGGCCCTGCTGCCCACCCCAGCCCCTTCCCAGAGCAGTTTTCTCTGGGCTGGGACCTCATCAGAGCCAAAGGCTGCTCTGCTCTGCTCTGCAGCCATGCAAACTGGTGAGGGCTGGGTGCCAGCACGCCCAACTTCTGATCACTCATTACTTGATCCTGGTGACAAATGGCTTCCCTGGCAGCCAAGATGCTCCAGTGCAGCTCTGCAAGCTGAACACGTGTGAGGAGCAGTGCCCTGCTCAGCTGGAGCTGCTCAGGGCTGGGGCCTCACTGCCAGGCCCAGGCAGACACTGAAAGAATTAAAATGTGGGACAGGATTCCCCTTAATTGACTGCACATTTTAGAACTTTGTCAAACATATTGATAGTCTAGAAATGCCTTAATTCCTGTTCCAACAGAGCTGAGTCTCTCTGGTTTAACCCTTCCCCTTCTCCTTTCCTGTCCCATCACTGAGCAGTGACTGGCACCAGGCACGGCCACAAACCCAGCCCTGGCACAGCCTGGCAGAGATGCCTCTGCAGCCTGGCAAAAGTTTCATCATTCCAAAAATTACGTTACACATGTGCACCATCCGCATCATTTCTAAATTCCAGCTCATCAAATTGATGAGCTTTAATGTGATGAAATTGTTCTGTGATACAAAACTGCCCAAATCCAAGCCCTTAGAAAAGCACAGAGCACTAGGATAATTTAAAGTGGGCTTTTCTAAGCACTCTCATGTTGCTGGAGCACTTCAAATATTTTTACAAGGATGTCAAAGCAGAATATGGTCAAATAGCCTTTTGAAGTAGAAGCAGTAGACATCAAAACACACTCCCCATGCTGAGAAAAACACTTGAAGTGTCTCGAAAAGCAATAATCCCAGCTCACCTGCAGCTTCCTGCAGCAGAAGTGTGTTTGCTGCTGGAGTTCAGAGCAGGAGCTTGGCCCCTGTGGGTGCAGGAGCAGCTCCCGTGAGCATCCACACTCCAGAGCAGCTGGGGGACCTGCTGTCCCCTCCCCAAAATCCGCGCTGGGCTGTGCCCACGTGGCTGTGCCAGGCTGGAGCAGAGCAGCTCTGAGACTCCTCAGGATTGCCCGGGAGCCTGCATCCAGCAGCCTGCTGCTGGCTTTGGAGAAAATGGCTAATTTGGGGTACAAATTCATTCCCTTTGGTTTTGCAAATACGAGTGAGACTCGACAGGAGCTGTTCCAGTGCCATTTGTGCTACAGAGCTGCAGAAAACATGCCACGATAACATCCCCCTTATCCCCCTTCAATTTCCTCTTTAATTTTTGCTACAATGGCTGGATTTTCTCCTGCCTTCTGGAGAGGAGACCAGTGCATCCCCAAAGTTCATAAAATGATATGGGGTCATTTTTATTGAAAGAAAGTTAAACATCCGCTGTGTCTATTGCAGTATATTAAACAATATTTTATTATTCTCACTTCCCTGACATGATTCACGTCCCTGGCAGGCACAGAGCCCTATTGTTTGCTTTCCATATACATGTAGCAATTTAAACTGTGCCTGTGAAATGAAATCAGGAGATAAAGCCCAGCTCAGGGACAGGGTGTTGGTGGTCCCTGCCTGTCCTGGCTGTGCCCTGTGGGGCAGAGGAGCCCAGAGCAGGTCAGTCCCTGCCCTGGCAGCCTGGGTGACACTGCAGCAGCTCTGGGAATGCTCCCCACCCGCGCTGGGGGCACAGGGGCAGGAGGGAGGCTGATGCATCTTTTGGGGCATTTTCATGCAGCTCTGCTGGAGGCTGGCCACGACACCTCTGTCACATGCAGGAGAGTCTGGGTGTGCCAGCGACACCCCTGGGCACATCCAGGAGGGTCTGGGGGGTGTCAGGGACACCTCTGTCACATGCAGCAGGGTCTGGGGTGCCAGGGGTGTCTCTGTCACACCCAGCAGGGTCTGGGGTGCCAGGGGTGTCTCTGTCACACCCAGCAGGGTCTGGGGGTGCCAGGGGTGTCTCTGTCACACCCAGCAGGGTCTGGGGGTGCCACCCCTGTCACCCCCAGCTGCCCAAAGCTCCCGAGGTCCAGCTGAGCCCAGCCCTGCCCGCTGCCCCCCCAGCCTGTCCCTGCTGCCCCCCAGGCTGAGGCACCCCCGACCCTCTCCAGCTCCTTCCCAGCCCTGGCACAGCCCCAAAGGGGGCAGGGGCTTCTGCCAGCCCTGTCCCCATCCCCTAACCCGGGTAAAAGCTGCCTCCAGCCCTGGGGACAGCCCGGGCTGGGAATGCCAAAGCTCCACTTGCAGTTTCACAGCTAAACTTTCCTTTCCTGTTGGAGCCCAGGGTTTCTGATTCATCCCACATCAAGCTCATTATTTCAATGCTCTGCGCTGCCCTGCTCCACTCTCATCTGCTCTGAGTTCAAGGTGCACAGCTTTATCTGCTGAAAGAAGTCTTTATTTTCCAGTCTGGACTTCGATTATGCAGAAAATAACACAGCTCAGTGGAGGAGGTTTGCTGGAATAATTTGTATCTTTTTATACAAACCGATGATAAAAATTTACCTCCTTGATGTATTTTTCTCCCTTAAACTGTAGTTATGTTTCCTTGAATAGACAAATGCAAGATAAATTCAATTACAGCATAATTTCTCCTGGGGTGAATAACCTTTAAATCAGCTCTGATCTCGAAGCTCACTGAGATAACACATAACTGTCCACTGCATTGTTGGAACTGGGGCTATGGCAGTGCCTGACCTGTCACTGTGAATATCAAACGATTTCTGCTCCTCTTTGCATCCTTGAATGCCAAACAAGTGGGGACCTCTGCGAGCAAGGAGCCCAGCTGCAGGGTGGGTTTGTGGAGGGAGGAGGTGTTTGCTGGAGCTCCTCAGCCTGCAGAGCTCCATCCCAGAGCTGAGCCCACCTGAGCTCCTGCTCCATCCCAGAGCTGAGCTCCTGCTCCATCCCAGAGCTCACCTGAGCTCCTGCTCCATCCCAGAGCCCACCTGAGCTCCTGCTCCTCATGCTCCATCACCCCCAGGCACTGTGGAATTCTGCCCACAGGGAGACCCTTTGGAGCTGCCCAGGAGGTGCCAGTGACAGGAGCAAACCCAGAGCAGAGCTGGGGAATGACAGAGCAAAGGATCCTGAGGGGTTTCCACCCACACAGCCCTCAGGGCCTGAACCTTCCACCAGTGTCTGTATCCAGAACAAATCCCAGAAGTTTTGAATGGAAATGTAAATCCATCCAGAGCAGGGTCAGGAGGAAGGAGCCAAATCCCAGAAGTTTTGAATGGAAATGTAAATCCATCCAGAGCAGGGTCAGGAGGAAGGAGAGCTGCCCTGGCAGCGGGGCAGGGCTCAGGTGATGGACAGAGGTGCAGCCAGGGGAGGCAGCAGCAGAAATGGCAATCCCTGCCCACAGCCAGCCCTCCTGGCAAGGTCATGCTATGTCTTCCACTGACTTTTTTTTAAAGTTATAATTTGCTCCTTTTCTCCCCCTTACCTCTCTCTGCTACACAGCATCTCACTCTGCTTTTTCCAAGGTTTGTTTTCTGTGTTTCCTATCAAAATTTGATGCTGCCAGAGATGTGAAGTCAGTGAAGTTTTCTTGCTGCAAAGAGCTGCAGCTCCACCTTCAGCTCGACACATCTCCCTCATAAGGACACTCTCCACTCCCTCCATGGCCACAGAGCCAAGCAGCTGCCAAAAACCCTCAGAGCAGGGGAAAACCAGGCCAAAGGAGTCACCAGCTGCCCCTGAACACACCTCCAGAAATGTGCAGGATTGCCTGGAGTGCCCAGAGCAGCCCCTGCAGCAGCCAGGGGACGGGCAGAGGATTGGTTCAGGGTGTGCAATCAGCACAGGGTGTGTGCAATCAGCACAGGGTGCCTGCAATCAGCACAGGGTGCCTTTGCAGCCTGACACGGCTCAGCTGAACACCAGACACTCCCCAAGATGCTCGAGGCTGCCCTTGACACTGCTGCTTCACACAAAGAGCTCTAATTCTCAACATAAGCATAAAAAGAACGGGTCCGAGTTCGTCCAAAAGAAGTAATCAAGAGGAACAGTTATTTGGTAATTTCCATCATTATCTCTGTCTGCTGCTGCATCTCTGCTCACAGCTCATTCTGAGCACTGCAAGCTGGCCAAGGAGCATTTCAAAGCACAGCAATCCTCTTGCTGCCATGGTCTGGGAGCCTGGCAAGGGAGGGAGGAGCTGTGGAGCACTGGGGGTCACTGTCCTGTTCCCACCCCAGCACAGGGGGTGCAGCACCAGGAGCTCACTGCCTCCCTGCTCTCCAAAAGCCAGAGCCTTCTTCAGGTCACCTCTCACGTTTCATCATGTCAAAGTATTTCTAGTACTGAGGGCAAGTGAGAGTGCTGGGGAGGGGATATGGACTGCCCAGCAGCTCAGCCATGCCAGCAGGACCTGGGAGCCAGCAGGACCTGGGAGCCAGCAGGATTTTTGCTCCCTGGGGATGCTGCACTGGCAGGGGCTCCCATGGGTGAGCACCAGGCTGGCTGCACCTCATTCCCTTGCCAAAGCTAGGGCAGGATAAACACAGCTTCTCCTGCTGATTCCCACACTTAAACCATGAAACTCCCCCTTCCCTCCAAACAGAACTCAGTAATAAAAAAGAATAAGAGCAGAACTCACTTTTTCCCCCGAAGTCCCTGCTGTCCCAGTGGCCTCAGCAGCAGAGGAGCTCCACTGGCCTTCACCTGCTCTCTCCTCTCCCACAGCTGCCTCTCATCACACCATCACAGCTTCCCCCAATCCTGGCCTTCATCTGGCTCCCCTGGGCTCCTGTTCCAGGTGATTGCACTCCCTGCCCTCCAGCAGGCAGCCCCAGCTCTGCTCCAGGCACGGGGGAACGTGTCCACCCTGCACTGTCTCCTTCCAGGACGCTCACGTTTCCATCCTTTACAACTGAGCTTCTCAGATGAAGGCTCTCCTCTAAGTGCAAATTATTATTAATGAGTTTCTGCCCCGGCTCCTTGGCAGGAGATGCACCTTGCAGCGTGTTTTCTGTGCAGTCCTGGCACGGGCAGACTGCCTCTCCTGCCAAGGCAGCTGTGCAAGCTCCAGCAGCTCCCTGCCCGCCCCAGTGCCTCTGCAACCACGAGCTTCAGAGATGGAAATCCTGCCACTTGACCCGGTGTGAGTGTCTCCAATAAATGACATTTCACAGCCCAGTGCTCTCCTCCCTGCTGAGATGATGGTTTGTGGTGGCTCGCTCGGAACAGGGCTGTCACAGAGTTTTTTGGTCGTGAAAAGTTTCAGTATTGGCCTCTGAAGCCCCATCTTCTGGAGCTTCAGACAAATTAAATGTGAAGGCGGAGCTCAGGTTTTTTTCCTTTTTACTTCCCTCTGTTGTCTTTTCAAATCCAGCCTGTCCTCCTCTGCACAGACCCACGGCGTGGTCACCTTGCTCCTGTCCAGCCAGCAGCACTGGGTTCCTGGGGGTGCCACCCTCGTGGGTGCAAGGGACACCCTCCTCAAAAACGTCCCTGGAACTGGTACCTTCTGTGCCACCACACCACTATTTCTGCTCCAGTGCTCTGTTTCTCCCTCCTCTGCTGCAGCTCCACGCTGTAAATGCCTTTTCCACCAGACACCTGCATTTTCCCAGGAAGAGCCATGTAATTAATTAATTAATTAATTATTTACAGGAGTTGCCCACGCCAGGAGCAGAGCCCTGGAGCTGCTGGTGCAGGCAGGGGATGAAGAAGATGGATTGTGGCACTGGCCTGACCTGTGCCTGGCTGAGCTGCTGCTGCCATCCATCATCACCAGCACGCAGCCACCAAGGAAGGCTCAGAGCAGGGAAAAGCTCCCACACATCTCTGCTCTCCCTCCAGAAAGGGGCAGTGGATGCAGCACTCCACAGAAATGACAGAGGAGCACCCCCCTGAGGAAAGAGAGGTTAATTTGTCAAGCCGTGTAAAGCATTTTAATTACAATTCATATAACATGTATAAATAAATATTACATTCTTTCAGTCTACAATGCATACTAGGCATATCTTGTTAAAACGTCCATCTATGTTATTGGGTGGCAGGATTGACTTTGTCCAAGTAAAAAAAAAACCCAAACTACGGAGTTTAGTAATTAAAAAACCCAAAAGAACGGAATACGTGGCAAAGACAGGACGATGCAAGTGCTTCTGGCTAAGTCAGGACAGAACCCTGCTTTCCAAAGGCTGGATCCACACCTCCTTCCAGTCAGGAGAGCTTTGGGAGGACACTGGTCTCCTCATTGAATAGATTTTGATCTGTGTCCTCCATGAATGTGAACTGGCACTGAGCCAGCACAGTTCTGCCAGCTCACACCACAAATTAAATCTCTATTTTGTATTTGCTTCCGATTCATTACTGCCTTGGTATTTATGTACTCGAAATTCAGATTTACAATCTAGTCTAAACTTCTCAGTCTTTGCTGAGTAGCAGAATAACCACTGGGAAAAAAAACCAAACAAACAACAAAACCCCAACAAAACGAAGCAAAAACAAAAACAAACCACGGACAGTTTGGCAAATTTCTTTCCCTGATTATAAAAACTGCCTCATCATTTCTCCTGGCGATCCCTTCCCCTCCCCCTCGCCCGCCCCAATATATACTGTAGAACTGAAGGCATCAAGGTGTGGTTAAACCCCAAAAAAAAACCCCCAGCAGGGAGCTACGCTTTGTCTTTGAACTTCCCCACGTAGTTTCTGATCTCTTTGGAGTCGCCCAGGTCCATGTCCTGGCACACCCACTTAATGTCATCGTCATTGCTGCTGAGGATGGAGTTGACGGTGGGGCAGCCGTCGTCGGGCGGGATGGTGGTGAACGTGGTGAACTTCACCCGCTTCCTCTTGGACGTGGGCGAGTGCAAAGGCTCCACCTTGTGCTCCTTGCCCAGCCTCCCCCCCGGGTCTGCAGCCCTGTGCGCCTGGCTCGCAGCGTTCTTCTGGGCGCTGCCGTTCAGCAGCTGGTTGCTCTCCTCGCCGCCCGAGCCCCGGTCGATGATGGTGGTGTGCTCGTCCTGCTGAGGCGACGCGTCTGCCGCGTTCTCCAGCAGCTCTGCCTCGTTCCCCAGCCACACCCAGTCGTGGGAGTGGGTCATGGTGGTCTGTCCTTCCACCAGCACCTGCTTGTGGCGGTACTTGAGTGCAAATGTTGCACAGTTGATGAGGAACACCAGGATGGCCAGGCAGAAGACGCCCAGCAGGGCGTACATGCCGATCTCCAGGTCGCTGAGGCCCCGGGGTGTCTGCACCAGGTCGCTGTCCTCCATGCCAGCCCCGCCTTTGGGCAGCTCCACCTGGGCGGGGAAGTTGGTGAAGTCGATGGGGATGTTCTGCAGCTGGCTGTCGTCCGAGAGCTTGCCGCCGTCCAGGCGGTTGTTTTTGACGACTTTGTTTTTGAGGATGGACTTGGCGGTGGTGCTGGCCTTCCTGAGGGTCCCCTCGTCCCTCTCTGCCGAGGAGCTGCCGTAGTAGCGCCCGTCGTGCTCCGCGGCCTTGTGGCGCCGGTCGCTGGCGCGGTTCTCGATCTCGTCCGCGTCGTAGTCGCCGCCCACCTCCGCGTCCGCGTCGTTCTGCCCGAACTTCACCTTGATGCTGCCGCTCCCCACGGCCAGCACGCTCTTCCTCTTGGACTTCTGGCAGGCCTCGGAGATCATCATGTCCACCTTGACCAGCGCTCCCTGGCCCTCGCCCTCCGCCGCCACAACGGGCCACTTCAGGGCAGGGCTCTGGTGCACGGACACAACGGCCTCGTCCAGCGACACGGCCGACAGAGAGAAGTCCTTGGGGTCGTAGATGTCCAGAGGGGTAACAGAGCTGTCACTGAACTGGATCCAGGTGCTCACCACAGCTTCCTGCAAGGACAGGGAGATGGTTAAACACGGGACCTTCAGGAAATCGGCCCGCAGCCCATCCATCTCCCAGCTGGAGGAAATGGGTCACAGCCACTCTGCACTTCATTTAAACAAACCAAGCCTCGACTGATGGGGCAGGAAACTGATCACATTTGTCACTAAGGGTTCCACTGATACTCTCCCTGCAAATGTTTTGCACAAGCACGTAGAAAATAATTGATTTGAGATGTCTTTATTACCGAAGTAGCGATTAGCAAGCTACAATTGTACAAGCTCTGTAAGGAAATTCATTCCTGTCGTACAAAAGCCAAAGGAGGCAAATCACAAAAATTACCAGAGGCACTTGACAGAACACTTATTTCCCTCATGTAACACATGCACAGGTGTCATGAGAAGCTGTCAAATTAAGGCATAAGTATCTTAGCAGGAGTAAGGAGCTACCACAGCATCTTGGAAATGGCTGGAGCAGAAGATTCATCTGAAAGAAAAAGACTCACAGAACAATTGTCATTTTGCTGGAGAAAGGTTTGTTTTAAGCAAAACACACTTTATCCTTGAGATAATTAAAAAGTCCACCAAATTTCTGTGTCAAGAAGAGGAGGAAGGGATTCTGGCATGATGTCTACAATAAAAATACAAATGGCCTGGATTTAATTGGTCTGTCTTTGTGCTCTGCAGGTAGCACTGTCAGAAGTCATCATTAGAAGCAAGCACAAAGCCAGAGGTCAGCTCTTTGCCATGTGAAATCCCATCCAGATGACACAGATATTTACTTCTCCACATCTCAATAGCTTTCTTTGCAGGGCATTTCTTTAATTTTTCATTTGTTCTGTGTCCTGCCTGTGTAGCCAGCAGACGGCCAGGCAGATTGCCAGAGTGCAACTTCCCACAGAAGTGAAGTTCTTTCCTTCCCACACTTAAACCACAAATGGCTCTAATAACTTCACACTTGGGTACATCAGAACAACTGGGCTGAAAAACAAGCACTGAGGAAAAACATTGCCACCCTGGTAATGTCCAGTCATAATACAAATTTACAACTTAATATGGTTTTCAATTGGCTGCAATTTGTTATGCTATGGTTATAAACAAAGAGAACTGCTACCCTTCCAGTTGAATTTAAAGCTTTTCAATGAAAACAGCAAGGGGCATTTAGCTGGGCAGAAGGTTGGGCCATACTGAATATTTTATTTCCAAAGCACTATCAGCAAGTACTTGAGGGACTGAAAGGAGAAAAATAAGTTGTGGCACAACAGGAAAGAAGGCAAATTTCTTGGTGATTCAAATTTACTTCAAAGAGCTGAAAATGAGCCAGGGTAACTCAGAAGCTGGGAAGGGTGAACTGCATAAGGAAATTAAAACATCTGATCTTTCATTAGAGAAACAACCCTGAAATGAGTGAACAAACACAAAGCTGCAGGGCACAGCTCGAATTTCCATCACAGAAATCTATAGCAGAGCAACCCCGGTCAGAGGAAAGCAAAGGGGTTTTTTTAATGGATATGTGCAGAGAGAAAAGGATTCACCTCCTCAGGCAATTCAGCATCCTGCTGAATTCCTTCTCCCTAAAACAAAGGTCAGCCTCATGTGCCACTGGGGAAGACACCCTGCCTTTGCACCAGCCTGTGCCAGGGAAAACACCAGCATCACTTCCCCCATCATCACTGCCTGCCTCCTTTGGAGAGAAAATAAGTGCAGGATTTTGTTCAGGGAGGGCTGGAAATGATGGCACGTGTGTCTCCTGCCCAGCTGGGAACATGCACAGCTCCACACCCCTACCACGGGATTCACCTCACTGAATCCTTTGTGCATTTGGACAAAGTTGCCAGAGACTTCAAAGCAACTTTATTCTTTATGCCACTGCCCTACAAATCTGCATTCCTGGTTTTATGAAGCAGAGACAGAGAAAAATGGGATGGCAGTCAGCTGAAATTTGCAGGCACACTTGTGATTTACTGTAGGTAACAGAGGTGTGCACTGGCTTAGCCATTATTTTCTACCAGCATTGACATTTTTTATTTCCAAGAGAACGTTTCTTCAAAGGAGGAACCAATTTTTTTCACAAAACAACATTGTCATGCCCATACTATGGACAACATTAATTAAAAGGGAAAGAAAACAAACGAGAGAAACAGGGAGAGAGTTTAAAATTCTGCCAAAATGTACTGGATCAGATCAAATATTCTATTTGGCAAGAGATCATTTCCTCTCATTCACATCATTAAAGGAAAGCCAAAGGCAGGGCAAGGAAGCGAATTTCCCAAATGATTATAAATTCTGAAAAGCTAAAAAGAAAAGAAGAGAGAAAAAGGAAATGATTTAGTGCCATGTCCTTCAAGGAGCTGTTTCTGCAAATCCTGTGTACCACATCAATAAATCCCCTCCAAATCTCTGACAAGGTCCTCCAGTTACTCTCAGAAGATGAAGATGGATTGGAGCCTTCCCACCTGCCAAGCTGCTGCCCCTCGTCTCACGCCCTCCACACTGAGGTGACAAATGCTCGTGCTCTTTAATTACCAAGCATAAACAAAGAGTTTGAGGGATTGTCTTGCTTTCCAGCCTTTATTTCCCTCACTTTTCCTCTCACACACACTCAGAGGTGTGTTCTCCCCCAGAACCAGTGACCACAGGGACACATCAGAGCCAGTGCTCCCCGCAGAGCAGGAGGATCTCAGTGCTGACTGAGCTGCCACGTGAGTCACAGAATGCTCATCAGGTCATGCTAATGACAGCAAAACCCAGGCCAGAGATGTAGAAACTGCTTCCCACAACCACTGTCGATCACCCCCAGGCTTTCCTTAAGCACATAAAAAACTTGATCAAGACATCTTTTGTCTGAACTATCCCTTGTGCCTTTGCTGCTCTCTTTCCCCACCACAGGTGTATTTTCAGCTCTTGATCTGTGGCAGTTCCACCACCTTTCCTGGCCTTGAATTACATTGTGCCTTATCAGTCCAAAGATACCATTTGATAAATCCTCTTGGATAAACCGGTTGCATTTTAGAGAATTCTGCTGCTTAGAAACACAGATCAGGATATTTGATTTTATTCCATGCTCAGAATGAAGCGGCCTTTCAAAGGTCTCCATTCACTACAGCACAAATAAAAGTATTTGTGAATAAGCCCTCAGTTGCTGGGGTCAGCTGCAAGGGTCCTGGAGTGAGGCAAGACAGCAGAGGAAAGAAATGGCTGGCTCTGCAGAAAGCAAATGCATCCCTCCCTCAAATAAAGGCAAAGGAATATTGTTGTCAGCAGCTTCTCCTAGACCAGCTCTGACTGCTCTGTCTGGGGACTTGAATGCTGGAATGGATTTCCCCAGCAATTTTATCACATGAAATATCAAAGTATTACATGTGCATTTATTTTTAAGCCTGTAGCTTGTGTAGTAAAAATTGGGCTTGATTGTTATGATGTGGAAATGAAAGGCAGCCAAGACTCAGAACTTAATTCAAACCATGCATTCCCCCACTGTGGGTTTCTCTCTCTCCTTTTTGTCCAATCTGCTAATGTGACATTCCTTTCCAGTGGGAATTTGCTTGTATTTGCAGGGGAAGAATTCAGATTCTTATCTAACAATGCATCCCTTCTCCCTTTCCCATGCTGCTGAATTCCTTTGTCATTCCTGTGAGCCACTCCATTGCTCTGCCAGCCTAAAGCAGACAGAAATACAATGTGGGTGTAACTTACACTGCCAGGATGGGTAATGAACCCACACCACAAAAATACTGCTAATATCTCTTATTAACTGTGAGGTGCCAGTGGATTCTCAGGACAGCAGGGCCAGGAGCTGAACCAGAGCCTCCAAAAGGCAGGGCCAGGGCATGAGCCCAGCCTGCTCTGCTGGCCAAGGCTGCTGGGCACCCTCCCCTCCCAGAGGGAGAGCAGAGCCAGCCCCAGGGCTGGACCAGGCACCACACCTGGGGAGCAGCAGGACTTGGCTTTGAGAAGGCACCAACACTGCTCTTTTCCCCTGAGAAAGTGTCTGCAGCTCCCCAGCAGCACTGAGATGCACTAATGCACAGAGATGTTTATTAAAGGCTTTTTCCTGCTTTCTTCACTGACCCATTTCAGTTCATCAGCCCCGTGCAATACCCTGCAGTGACAAAAAAGCTGGATGTGACTGTGAGTTCCCCTGCAGAGCCAGCTGAGCTTTGAGAGTCCTTGAAGCTCACTTAGATCAGAAAACATTTCAACACTGTAGGTTTTCTTTTGTTTACATTTTGGAGAAGCCTTTAGGATGACAGTGTTGATTTAACAACCCTCAGCAAGCCAAATGGAACAGCTTTCCTACCTGAGCAGATGGCCACCAGAAATAGATCACTCACAGCCAGAGTTTCCAAATTTTCAGAAGACACTCCATCTTTGATATTTAAAAGTTGGTCAACCCGTGTCTATTTTTAGGTACCTAAATCACTGATCCACTTTTCAGTGCCAATGAGCTCCCTATTGATTAAAAAATAATATATGGGCTCAGCATCCCTCAAGGTCACCTTGTCACAGCAGGTAATTAGCTGCTCAGCCATAGATAAAGGTATCTAACTCAAGGCATCCAAGGTGAAAAAATATTGGCTTATCTTCTTTAGAGTGCTTTGTATTTGTGGAGAAACTGCCAACTTTTCAGGACTTGTGTTCTGGCTGCTTTGTGCTGTGTATGCAGATAAGGTGTGCTCATTATAATTAAGGCAATCCAGTCATTATGGTCACTGAAAGAAAGCCACAGCAAGAATTCTGAGTTTTGTTTGTCAGCTGCATCAGTAAGGTTTGCATGAGTTATTTGGGCCTTTTTATAAACTTGCTTGAGAGGAAAAGACACACTAAATAATGAAGTCCTCACAGTGTTCAAGTACAGGCTTAGTCCTGGGCTGTCTCCTTGGAAAAAACCCTCTTTCAAAAGGGCTTGATTTTCAGAAAACACTCAGCATTTGCCTTCAAAATTCCAGCTCAGTCAGGATCTCAGCTGATGCACTCCAAATCATGAGTCATTTCTTGCAAAATTTAGCCACAAACATTCCCACATTTGCATTAATTTTTCTAAGGGAAAGTGACTTAAATGTTCTATCCTTCATTCAAACTGCAACTGAAAGGAAAAGATGTCTGTGGCTCTCTAGGTCACTCCTACACCATCTCCTTCCACTTATTTCCCAGTGTGAAATCTATTCCTGTCTTGTTTCTGGTGATGGAGATGAACCAGGGCCTGACTTCTGTGTCAGAAATGTGCACCTGAAACTGTCCTGCAGAGGAACAGCAGCTTAAACCAAACATTTCCCCAAAACAATTTCAGAACTCAGATGCTGGGAGAAGTCATTTCAACCCAAACCACGTTTGCACATTTTGACTCTTTTGTACCTCCTAATGTCACATCACGCTGCCATGAACAACAGGAGGTGTCACAGGGGGCACCCCTGGCACAACCTGCCATAACCTGATGCTGATAAATGTCTCTGCATGCTCAGGACAGTTCATCCATAACTCTGAGGGGCTGACAGTGGGACTGGGCAGCCTTTCAGATGCACAGGCTCTTTTAGCTGCAATCAAAGCAGCTAAACAATTCTCCCAGTGCTGCTGCAGGACTGGTGCTGCTCTGTGCCACAGGGCAGGATTGGGTTAGGAGTGCTCCAGTTTTTGTTTCCACAGTCTTTGTCTGAAGACAGAATGCCAGATGTGGTTTCTAAGCCCTGAAGAAGGGCATAAATGGGTTAATTGCGTAAGATTCTTATGTTTACAGGATGCAACAAATGGAACAGATGGACACCGTGTCCTTCTAGTTTGGACATTTTCCTGTCACTAAGTTATAAAACAAACCAGATTATTTTTATGTTCCAGAAAATTAGGTAGTAATAATCATGAAAATGGGCCATAAAACTTGACTTGAGATCTCTCCCTATCTATGCGAGAGGAAAAATGGTTTCTGCAAGAGGAGTGGCTGTGGACAGATTTAATTGCATGGTTCCCAGTCCCAACCCTCACATAACTGACCAAGGAATGATGTTCCAGTGACCCTTGGGTTTATTCTGGGCCAGAGTGACTGTTTGACTTGATCTGGTAGTGTTCTCCAGTCTTCTTTTCCACAGAGGTTGTGACCTGAGACAAGCTGTTTGAGAGAGCCCCTTTGGAGAGATGGGAATTTGCTGGCTTAAATGAAGATCAGCACATGAACTGGATGATGAATCCCCCAAAATCCACATGAAAAATAAAAGGAGGGATGTGCCTGCCAGTGTGTCACAGCTCCAGGAGGGAAAATAAATGGGTGTGGCCATCTTCTGCCTCTATTTTACAGCTCTTGAAGATATTAAATTGTGTCACACACAGCTCTGTGCTCCCCAGAATGGAAAACAAGGGCATGCTCCCACAGCAAACCAGGATCACTGTCCAAAAACTGCCTGTGCAGTGAAAACAACAGGTTCATCAGCTAAAGAAAGGGTATTAAAACTGTAAACAGCATGAACTGCAGTGCAGGCAGAACTTTTACTGCAGACTGAAGTCTCTATTGGAAGGGAAGAAAAGACAAGGCAAATCCATAGGGAAAAGCAATGAACATGGACACAGACTACACCTGAAGTCTAAACTGGCTACGAATTATCACCTGCACCTTACACTGACAACATCCTGCCCCATCCCAGAAGGCAAACCCAGTAAATTGAGAGTGCACATCACCTGCTTAGGAGTGTGGAGCAGCTCTTGGGCAACGGCCGTGGCCACAATGGCCCTGCTGGTGGCTGCACTGGGCTGCAGGAAGAGAGAAAGCCCAGACACCAGCTGCACTCCAAGGTCTGTGATGGTCACTTTGTCATCCAGCACAGTCACTGTCTTCTCTGCCAGGATGGAGTCAGACAGAGGAGACAAAACCTTTGGAGAAACACAGAAGAATCAACTTAGGAAAAGGCTGATCAATTGATAAAACATTTCTTAAGGTCATCATCCCTTCTGTCTCCAAAGCTTTGTGCACAGAAATGAAGAGCACAGGAAGGGAATCTGATTTCATTAGTAGGGTCAGAAAACCTGAGTGGAGAGGTTATGGCTGAAAACCACCCAAGACTGGATCTGTCCTGTCCCAGTTGTGTTATTTGTATTATTTCACCATGAGAGTGGATTTTAATTTCTCTTCTCCTGTTACTCTGTCTTCCCATGTGGATGAGCTCATTAAACCTCCCAACTGCTTCAAAGGGAGGTTACCAGCCTAGGATTTGTACTTCATCTCTTGGCTTGGAAATTCTTGTTCCTCCAGCTTTTTCTGTTTCTGAAGGAACATCAAGACAGTAGAATATCCTTCCCTTTGCTGAAATTAAGGGCCAGGCTGCTCTCTTCAGGGAACTGTGGATAGCCAGTCCATGCACATGCTGTCTTCCCCACCTTCCTCATATCCACACAGATCAGCTCTATCCACCCTTTGTGTGTTGCCACATTTCTCTTCACAGAGAAAAGCAAGGCACCGTTCTTCCCAAGAATATTCCTGGGTTTCACACTCTCTGAATGTCAGAGAAATAAAGCACAACTCTTATCTCATTTGCTGTGCCTGTGTTTGTGCCATAGTAGAATGCAAAATGGAGATTGTTAATCCAAAGTGAGGGTGTTGTGTTTCCTTGGCCTGTCAGGGCCAGGTGTGTGTGTGTGTGTTGGGATTGTTGGCTGACAGCCATGAGAGAGCCACGAGATGAGGGCAGTTCTGTGCAGCTGTGGGCAGGGTTGAGTGCTGGCAGATTCAGTTTAGATGTAATGCAATACAGTGTAATATAGTATAGAATAATACAGTATAATAAAGTGATTAATTAGCCTTCTGATATCCATGGAGTCAGATGCCTCCTCGTCATCCTCTCCCCCTCGTCAGGGGCAAAAATATCATTGATATTTATGCACTGCCTTTAGTCAGGATTCACACGTGTGACCCCCACAGGTGTCTAACCTGTGGGCATGGCAGCGTGTGGCAGCCACAGACCACCCCCAGCCCCTGCCCAGGCTGTACCTGCATGGTGGTCATGCCCACAGACCATGCCCAGTCTGTGCCCAGGCTGTACCTGCATGGTGGTGATGCCCACAGACCATGCCCAGCCCCTGCCCAGGCTGTACCTGCATGGTGGTCATGCCCACTTCCCGGCCGATGAGGATCCTGCCCTCCTGCAGCCTGGCAACGTGCGGATCCTCCAGCTTCATGAAGTCCCTGACCAGGTCAGTGATGTCGAAGTGCCAGTCCGAGCCCAGCAGGTAGCTCAGCTGGCCCCAGGGGCCCGAGTCCTCGGCCACAAACTGTGTCAGCACCCTGACCATGGCGTGCTGGTACTGCAGGGTGCAGCCCCTGCCCCGCCGCTCGTCCTCGTCCTCGTCATCGCTGTCCCTGGTGGGCCTGGCGGCAGCAGAGGACACAGCATGGAGAAACGTTCTCAAACATCAGTGAAAATTAACACTGCAGTGCTCATGGAGAGTGCCCCTCAAACAGAGCCCTCCCTTCTGCATTCCTGGACTATGGATCTCCACCTCCTGTGACGAGGGACCACACAACTGGACTGAGCCCTTTTCATCTGTGCTGCCATCTCCCAAGAACCCCTCTGCCAGTGGCCCTCACCAGAGCTCCACACCGTGTTTTGCTGCCCAGGACAGACACGTGCACAGGAGCAGAAGTCCCACAACTTTAACAGCTTTAACTGCAGATGCCCAGAGCAAAGCTGGGGGCTCCAGCACCGCTGCTCCTCAGGGGAAGAGGCAGCATTCTGGGAGCATTCCTTTCACAAACCACCCAAGAAATGCAGTGAGGCAAACCCACCTTTTGTTGGACACGACAGGGACTCGCCAGCCTTTGATTTGGCTGAGCTCCGTGTCAGAAATGTCGATCTGGAGGGGCAGGCGTGGCACCCACACCGTCATGTGCAGGGGAGCACTCAGGTACTGGTAGGTGAAGTTCACCAGGGCGTTCACCTTGCCCTTCATCTCCTTGCCGTTGACAAAAACATAGTCACACCTGTCGGAAACCTGAGAGGGGGAGGAGAAAAGGTGATCACCGTGACAAAACGAGCTCCAAGCGTCAGCCTGGGGGCTGAACCCCAAAGCACACAGAAAAGGCCCCCCTCTCCTTGTGCCTGTTAATGATGGCCTTGTGCAGTGGGAGCAGCTGAACACAAAAGCCCTCCCTGGCCCAGGAGGCACAATGTGCTGGAGATGCCTAAAGCTGGATACTGTTATGAAGCTTGAAGTTAATTTTCTGTCTGCTATGCAGCGAGCTCCAAACTGATAGCAGAGCTGGGGAATCCTTAATGAGCAAAGCTCTTCCCAGCCTGGCCAAGAGGAACCCAGCAAACCCAAACTGGGCTCCACAGGGGCAAGCAGCCAGTCAAAGCTCTGCCCTGAATGACTCCACCAGGGGTGATGCTGCTTTCAGCACTGGCTCTGCAGTAGATTTCACCCACTGAAGAGTAACAGAAGTCGACTCATTTCCCCTGCAATAAACATTATCTGTTTGTAAATGTTTACATTTTGATTAAAGCTGTAAAGTATTTCTAAACACTACAGTAGATTTATCATTAATATGTAAATGCTGTCCTGAAATATAAGCAAGCATTATCATAGTCATGTAAGAGTTATATCAGTAATCACTTCTTTAATCAGTGTTGTAATTTACAGACCATTGAGTTTTCTCATTTATTATGTTACTGAGTACTAGTGATAAAATCACTCCTGGATATATAAATCATTAAGAGAGATGCAGATAGTATGAAGTGACTCCATGTGATAAAGTCATTGTCATTTCTATTCCTAAAGGTGTCATAAATGTCTGGGGAAATCCTGTGGCACATTAATCATACATTAAGTGGAGAGCAATGGGAGCTGTTACATTACTAAATGAGCTGGTATGTCTGCAGAAATTAACAGCAAACCCAGCAGATCCCAACTCCTGCTCTTGCTCCCATCCTGTCAGAATTCTGCTTCATCACCCCTAACGAGCACTGGTAATGGTGGAAATGCATCTCCCACCTGAACATGTATTTATATCATCATCTGCTCCCTTCCACCCATTCCCAGCACCGTTTTATTCAAATGGAGATTATCAGCTGGCAGTGCTGATGTCCCCAGACTAAGCCAGCAGATGGATGTCCTCTGTGGCCACAGAGGCAGGAGCTGAACTGCTCCCAGTCTGACACACCACGTTTGTATACTCTCCTGGGTTTAGGCACTGCTCATATTCTGGTAAAATATTTGATGATGAGATTGCAAAAAGAAACTTCAGAGAACATAATACAAACATTTCTCTGCCTCGCTGCCTCAGAGGGCTATGCTCCAACAGCTCTGTTGACTGAAGCACTACACTGCTCCAACATCTGACCCATCCCTCTCTTCAGCCTTCTCCCTCAGACCTCCTGAGGCCAGTTTAACAGCCTGAAGGGGGCACAAACACCTTCACTTCAGCACTATGAATGCCATGGCCTATTTTTCCATCTATTAACTTGAATGGCAATACAGAGACAGGTTTAGTTCACACCAGGCTGTTTCAGAATGACTGTTTGATCTCCTCTAAAAGCACCGTGCAGCAGAGGTCACAAGGAGCCCAATAACATGTGTAATATCCCATATAATACCAGGCAGTTATTCAGAACACACCCCTAGATGGGCTGCTTGTTCTTTCTACGGTGTCTGCCTCAGCTTCACCAGGGGAGAGGAATCCTGAAAATGCTTCTCATTACACAGCCCCAGCTGCAGGCAAGCAAGGGCTGCATGTCAGGAGTCCCAGCCCTGAGCTCCTGCCCAGGGAGGTGCTGGTGCCCAGAGCAGTGAGCAGCCCCTGGGACATCCCAGGGACACTCAGCCCCTGTGTCTGAGCTGCTGGTGTCCATCCTAGGTCTGGAACATTCGACAAAGCAGCTTCAGAGAAAGCTCTTGGCTCCTCAGCCCTACCTGCCTTTGAGCACAAGTGTTTGGGAGGCTTGTCAGAAAAATCTAACTGAACTCTGCTTGGAGCCACAGCCATTGCTGTCCTGAAGCTGGTGCCACCCCACTCATTTCTAAGGAGTTCAGCCCAGAGACAAAGTGAACTTTCTGGTTTAGTTGTGCAAGTTGCTTATTTATGCATGGTGCAAAGCACTTGCACGTGCTGGTAAGAGATTTCTGACAACACACTCAGCTTCAGACCGGCCAGGTCTGGCCCAGATGTATGATTTTATATTGTCTAAAGCTCATGTTGTCAGGAACTGGACAAGTCTAACTGCTGGGGAAAGGAAAAGAATAACAATAGTAGCAAAACCGCAATTCCAAAATGGCTCTGGGCTGAGAAGCAATCTCCATGTGTATTTGGAAAGCTGCCACAAGCCTTTGTGGCTATGCCACAAACAAATGGCTCAACAAGTCCATAGAGCATCCTAAGGAGGTGGCTGAGCAGCCACCACAAAGCCTTTCAAACTGCTCCAGGCTGATATTTTATTTATACTGGGCATGCATCAGCAACACTGGCAGGTCTTTAGGAGCTGCATTGTGACAAACATGGTTCTCCTCCCCAAGAACAAGCATTGCTGATGTCCCTACACTGCTTCTCCTCTGCCCCTGTACTTCTGAGAAAGAGGTAGAACAAGAGAGAGAGGAAAGGAAGAGCAGAGCTCAGGCTGTATTGCATTCCTGTAACTCTCTGTGCATTTTAACTCCTTCCAGGCATCCATCCTGGAAGCATCATCCATCACTCCTGACAGGGAAAGGCAGCACTTCCCAACCAGTGCTACACAGGAGAAGAACCTGCAGCTGACCCAAGGTGGGGCTGCTGACACTCGTGCCCATGCAATGTTCAGGTACATTCCACATCTGCTCTTCTGGAAGCAACACACCTCAGCCACGACAGAAGAGAAACGAGAGCAGGGACATTTGCCTTCCTTGCCCTTCCCTCACACAGTGTCACGTTAAAAATCAGTGAACAAGGTTTCTCAGCCTCAGAGGACAGATGCAGATGGACTGACTGCTACAAACTGCAGCTCCAGCAAGCCCCAGGCGGGCTCTGACTTGCTGAGCAGATGCTGCTCACAAACAAAGGGAACAGGCTGTGTGGTGCCTCACCAGCCCCCAGCCCAGGCTAACTAAGGTGGAAATAACACCCACACAACTGGTTCTGGAGTTATCCAGGGCAGGCTTGGCTACACTGCCTTGATCTGCTCTCCTGTGGGGTGAAACAGGATGGGGACACAGGGCTGGTGGGGATCCCCAGAGGCAAAGGCACATGGGACCATGGAGGAAGGACAGAAAGTAGATTTTTAAAACATGTGTCACATTAGAATTTTTTTTTTTTTTTAATGAAAAAGGTGTATTTGTTGAGGAGTTTTTGACAGACAGAAGTGCACTTCTGTTTTCCTCCAGGCTTTTGCCAACGCTCCTGGAAGGTCAGGGAGCAGTGCAGGGACAATCTCTCAGCTCTGGGTCCTGCCCACTCCAGGCCAAGAAAGTTTCTAAGAGAAGCTGGAGACTCTGTGAGCACTGATGTGTCTCTCATCTCCTGTAGTATTTATGCTTTCACTATGAAAACATCCTCCCTCTGAAAGTGCTTTTTATCTCTGGCATCAGAAGAAGTGAGCAATGATGAAGGGAAAGCCTGCTTAGCCACCACCTTTAAGTGATTGGGTTTTTTCTTTCCTGCTTAGCAGATCAGCAAGAAGTTTTGCATTTTAAAGAGCTCTCTGATGCTATTTCAGCAGTTTCTTTCATTATTAAGCTGCATTCAGCTACTTCTCCCTTTTTTCTATTTTCCTAACTTCTTCTCCAGATTAAAACTGAAATAAAGAAGCAGACAGCAAAGACAGGGCTAAGCACAACTCCCTACAGGCTTCCTCTTTGTCTTCTTCCTGGCATTATATTTTTGTGCCCCCTTGTAACAAAGGCCATTGCCTTTCCAGATGACTTGGACAGATTCTCCCTGCAACAAATCACATTTTATTGAGCTGACAGAGAAAACTGCTGCCAGGAAATCAAGAGAGAGTCACTCCTGGATGCCACCTGTGGCACTCTGAGCTGGGGAGGGGACGTCCCTCCCCCTGGCAATCAGCAGATGGGCTGCAGTGGATTCAAAGGACATTCCTGGAACTGGTACCAGTCCAGTGCAGAACCTCTGGGTCTCCCTTCACTTCCTCATTTCAGACTGAGCTCTTGATCCCACCATGGCCTCTGCACTGCAGGACTGCAAGAGCTGCTGGAGGTCACCACGAAGGAGGTGACAAGGACACACAGCCAGAGAGGGGCCGTTGGCACCTCTGCAGAACCCTGGGTTTGCCGGGTTAAATTCCACTACAGACTCCTGGGAAACCTTCCTTCTTTACTGGTGGAGTCAGGAAGTTTCTAGAAAGACAAATTTCATGTCAAATACAAGCTAAGGCTGCTTTTCAAAAGATGGTGATCTCAGACTGGTTTTTGTCTGCTCTACACAGGAGTGGAAAGAATGACAACTGTAAAACCTAAAAATAAGTGAGTGGTTGGCTCTGTGAGTCCACCCTAGCCCAAGCTTGTTTATTCTCCCAGTGGTTTTCACCTCTGGAGATACCAGCCCAGCCTCTGAAGGACAGCTCAGAAGGACAAAAAGAGAAGGTTTTAATGCAGCAATCCTGTCAGGTGTGTGGAGACTGAAGAACTGGGAGGCATCAGTCCATTTTCTAGGTAGAGGTCTGTGTGGTTTCAGGACTGAGCAGAAATGGGGAGATGTGGTAACAGGGCATGTCCTGCTCGTATTCATCCTGTTCAGAATCTTGCATTTTTGTCTGTAAACCCATTTACCCATTTCTGTTATACTAACGTAAATGTTGCTAACATATTCAAAGGTTACATAAATGTTTAAATATTTATGACAGCACTTCTGTGAGCAGAGAGTTCTTTCCAGTGCCTCTTCAAGGAATCTCAATTTCAGTGAAAAAAAAAATAAAATTACAGGATAATCAGCAAAGAATAGTGGTGCTCAGCACTTTTCATACATGAGACTCCTTGTGCTCAGCTCAGTGTCATCCCTCTGGCACAGCAGGAAGCACCTGGAGCTCATGGAGGTCAGGCTCTGGGAGCAGCCATTCATTCCACTGAGGAACAAGAGCACCAGGATCACTGATTCACCACACACCAACACGTCAAATATTAGACTGTGATAATCATTCCAGGAGCTTTTTGGATATTCATGTCCTTGCTATAGAATTTCTCCCAAGATTTCTTTTTAACAACGTGCTCTGCAGAAAGGGAATTATCCTCTATTAAATTCTACAGGTTTTGAAAGAGAGACTCCGTGTGGCTCTCCAGCCTTGATTCCAGTTAAACACCACGGTCTTACACACAAAGGAAATCCTCTGCTACAGGAACATTAGGCTTTCTAAGAAGGATTTCAATGCCTGGCTGCATAATCCTGAATAATCAGTAACCTAGTGGAAAACTGAAGCTGTCTCAAGGCCCACACTACTCATTCTTTCAAATTAAACTGTTTAAGTCTGATAAAAGTTAAAGCTTCAGACCTGAGCTCTGCCATGCTATTTCCAGCTTTGGGGCAATGCTAGAGCAGCCTTCAGAGTGGAAACCATTCCAGGAGCTGCTAATTGCTGCAGGGGCTGGATTGCCAGGGATGCAGCTGAAGCTCTGGCTCAGGAGGTGCAGCCAGGAGCTCCTGCCAGCAGACAGAGGCAAACACAGCCCTGCAGGCTGGCAGACTCTCACCTCAACACTGCAAAGGCTTGGCTAGCTCACGTTAGTGCAAGAATAACCCCAAGAGCCCTCTCCACCTGTGACCCCCCAAAAGAATGACTGTGCTTTGTGAGGCAGCTGAGGAAGGATTCCCTCTGTGGCACGGGAGCAGGGCAGGATGAACTGATTCCAGCTGCACCCCTCAGCATCCTGCAGCTCTCAGAGGCACCCGGGGCTGGCTGCTGGGAGCTCCACATCCAGGGTGCATCCAGGCCCCGTGGGCAGTGCTCAGGCAAGGCTCCCAGCAGTGCCCATGAACAGCACAGGGATGGAGCCTGCAGAGCAGAGCTGGGTAACACCAGGGCCATGGTTTGGCCAGTCTGACACAGGGATGGACAGAGCAGAGCTGGGTAACACCAGGGCCATGGTTTGATGCCATCTGACACAGGGATGGACAGAGCAGAGCTGGGTAACACCAGGGCCATGGTTTGATGCCATCTGACACAGGGATGGAGCCTGCAGAGCAGAGCTGGGTAACACCAGGGCCATAGTTTGGATGCAGACTGACACAGGGATGGACAGAGCAGAGCTGGGTAACACCAGGGCCATGGTTTGATGCCATCTGACACAGGGATGGAGCCTGCAGAGCAGAGCTGGGTAACACCAGGGCCATGGTTTGATGCCATCTGACACAGGGATGGACAGAGGAGAGCTGGGTAACACCAGGGCCATGGTTTGGATGCAGTCTGACACAGGGATGGACAGAGCAGAGCTGGGTAACACCAGGGCCATGGTTTGGATGCAATCTGGGCTCAGCAGGGTCTGCATCTTCAGTATCAGCAGCCAGATTAGCAAAACTAAGCAGAAAGCCCCCAAAGCAAGAGAGCTTTTCTTAGGGAAAAGGCTGTCCATTATCTGATCTCATTACAGAGATTTCAGAGGCAGCCTTGCAGAGCAGCAGCAGTACATTTAACTAACTGAATATCATTCACCACGACAGAACTGAGAGAGTAAAAGGGACACAGAATGCCAGCTGAGACTGGAGGGCATCTCTTTGCTCCCAAATGAGCAGCTTTTGAAGCTGAACTGTAGCTGAGCTGAGCCACAGGAGCTCTCTGCAGCTCACATTAGCACAGAACCCAAAATCTGCCTTGCTCTGTGCACTCTCCAGTCAAGCAATTTCTGGAAATGGGGACAAACAGAGAGCTTGGCTCCTGCTCACTGGGGAGATGGCAGCCCAGAGATGCAGCATGGCCCCAGATATCTTGCTTGGCAAGGCAGGATCCCGGGCTGGAATCACTTTTAATTCCATCTCACAGTTCAGGCAGTGGCTGTGCATTTCCATCACGGTGTTTGCCATTCCTTAACTCAGTGTGTATCTACAATGCACAGACTCACAGTGAGTAAACTGCAACCAGGGGCAGAAAAGCAAAGTAGAACCAAACCATCCTCTCTTCTGACTGCGTTACTCAGGTCTGGAGCAAACTGATCATCCTCCCATCACACCTGCAGCTGGACAAGACTGGTGCTGCTTCTCCCTTTTCCTTTCCCACTCTTGGTGCTGAAGCTTTGGAGATGATTTTGAAGCACTTTCTGTGGAACCTGAAGTGCTGTTGCTGTGATTTTCCACTTGGGCTGTGCTGGTTCTCCATCCCCAGAGCAGGCAGGGAGCTGGGTGAAGCCATGAGGTAAGGGAGGGAAGTCTGCAAGGATACAGTTTAGAAGTTTCTTCAGCTGCCCTTGAAATTCCAGCCTACGATGTGATGGCAAGGTGTTTACAGCTGCCGTTGCTGAGTGCATCTCAGTCCATGCCCATTCTGAGTTTCAGTTTCCAGAGGCTGGCTGCTGGGAGTGGTGCTGAGCACTGCTGACAGGACATCTCCTGTCACAGCTCCAAGCACTGCTGCCCTGTAACTCTGCTGGCATCTGAGAGGTGTGGCAAAGCTGCACTTCTACAAAGCTCCTCTCAAGTTCTGCTGACGTGCATTGATCCCATAAACCACAGGGCCAGGGGAAGCATGGAGGAGGGCAAGGAGGAGCAATTTCCATTTGTTATCCTGTTCAGAATACAACATAGCACATTTGGAGAAGAAAAACCTCCAAAGTCCTGGGGCTTCAGAGCAGCAGAACAATGGCATTTCCTTTCTTTTTCTTTTTCTTTTTCTTTTTCTTTTTTCTTTTTTCTTTTTCTTTCTCTTTTTTCCCTCCCCTGTTTTCAGAGCTGTTCAGCTGACACAAAGACTCATCTCTTCTTCCTTTCTTTTTCTTTTTCTTTTCTTTTTTTTTCCTCCCCTGTTTTCAGAGCTGTTCAGTTTGACACAAAGACTCAGTGCTCACACAGCATCAGAAGGAAGGAGGAGGCAGCAGAGAAGCTGGCTGCTGGCTCTGGGCTCACAGAGATGCAGCTGCTGCTGCCCAGGGCTCTCAGGCTGTGGCTGGGTGTGCTCAGTGGGAATTCATTCCAACTCCCCCCCATTTCAGCTCCTGAACACAAACCACAAAGCTCCAGGGAAGGGGATTGCTGGGCTCCCCACACCACACCTGTTCCTGCAGCTGAGCCAGGAGCCTGAGCAGGGTTTGCTCCTGAGCAAAGAGCACAAAACATCAGCAACAGCAGCAAAATCCACCTGAGCCCCAGCAGATGGCAAGGAGCCCGTGCATGCAGCTGCAATGGCCGTTAATGGATCCTATTGGTAAATTCCAGCTTAGCGAAATAAAATTTGGCTTTTGCTTCCTTTTTAGTGCCATAATAAATTTTGTGTCCTCTTTTAAAAGGTTGGACCACTGTGTGAAGGTCTAGAGCACTCAAAGACATTTAAAGTTCATGAAATCAGCTGTAAATTTGGAAATAAAGAGTGGGAACTGTGAGACAATAAAAGAAGTAAAGGAGTAGCAGTCAGCAGATTCAAACTGTGCACTGAGCTGCCCTGGGACCATGAGGATCACTGGGAAACTCTTACCTGCTATTTGCAGATAGATCTTAAACTCAGATTTCCACAGGGCTCTGTTACTGAGAACAATGCAATTCAGCCCAACTGAAGTAAAAATTAATATAAATAAGCTTTGAGCTGCTGGCCAATTGCTGGGCAGGAGCATTACCTATAAGCTCTTTACATGAACCATACAAAGGACATTTGTTTGATAACTAAATGTTACAGGCCAAGTGCAGACAGGCACTGAGCATCTTCAGCTTCTGGCCTCACTGTCAGGTTTGCCTGAATCCAAATTAGCAGAAATTCCACACAATTAAAAGCACACAAAAATATCTGCCTGAACCTCTAGATGATAATACGAGTGAGTATTAAATAGCTCTCAATAGCTCCCACCAATTACTCCTTTTTCCCCCTAAGTTTGTGGTTTTAAGGTAATCTACAGGCTTTACAGGAGCTGTAAACTCATGCACACAGCCCTTGTACCATGGGCTCTGCCCAAAAGACAACATTTATGATGACTGGATTTTATTTTTCAGCAGAAAGGTTACTCCCAACAAAGTCTCTACACCAGGATTTCACAGAGGAAGATATTTCTAAAGAATTGAACATAAAAGCTTGATGGAGAATTTCAAAATGAATTAAGGATGAAAGGCCTCTGTGCTCATTTGAAGCTTTCTGAGTGCTTTTTAAAATCTGAACCAATTGAAGATGTCAATTTGCCTTGAACCCCAAACCACTTCCCTACATAAAGAAAGAAATTTTGTGGAAACAAGAGCATTCTAGATGGAGAAAAAAAAAAAATTTAAAAGCATTTTTCCTTTATGATGAGATGAGCAAACCTTTTTGTTCCAAGCACTTAATTGAGCTGTGTTTTCCAGGCAGCTGTATGTTTTCCAGCAGTTAGCACTGGTGTCACAGCCACATCCTCCAGAGGTTCTGCATGTACTCCAAACACACAGGAGACACCTTCTCTCACCATCTGAGCAATTCCCAACCAGCTCTGAAGAGGGAGAAATTACACCTGGAAAGGCCCCTGGCTGATCCCAATAAATGCTGTGTTAACCTCCAGTTATTTGTTCCACCTCAGCTTCAGCCCAGGCAGGGGAGGCTCCTGGAGCCACTCACAATGTTCTGATGTGCAAACGTGGCTGGAAGGAGCCCTTTTAGTGCAGGTAAATGATTTCTGCAGAAAATAAGAGAAGAGCACAGCAGGGCCCCGAGTGCTAATCAAAGGACACGGTGCTTCAGGAAAACACTCTTCCCAAACAAACTGCTGGAGAGCTGCAGCAGCCCAGGCTGTGGCTATTGCCAGGCTACGAAATGTGAAAGCCCAGGAGCTTTTCTGGGCAGGAACTTACTTTAATGACGTCCTCCCCCGAGGATTTGCACTCCACGGACTCCGAGATGTCTGTCACAGCACTGTTCTCCTCGATGGACACCACCTTGATGGGCACTGCCACCGTCCTGCCCGTCAGGATGGCCGTGTTCAGGATCTCCGTGTCCTGCACCGAAACAAAGCACAGCCCTGCTCACACCTGCCTCTGTAGGACACCAAATAAAACGGCACAGACACTGCAACTCCAGGGTAAGAAGAAGGGAAGTTTATTCTCTGACTCCAGTATTTATAGACTTTCCAAAGTGACAGTGGATTGGAGGGTGACAGTGCCACCTCTCCAGTGACACTAGACAAACCAACAGTCCATTCTTTCCAAAGTGACAGTGGATTGGAGGGTGACAGTGCCACCTCTCCAGTGAGTTAAATTTCAACAGTCCATTAAATTTCTCCTCCTCCAGAAAAGAATGCAAAACAATTAATTACTTACATAAAAGTGTGTGAGAAACTCCATTACAAGAATGCAAACATCAGAAGGCTTAGGAGGACTCAGAAGAACACATCAGCTCTGGGTGGCTGAAGATCTCAGCTCGCCCCCAGAGAGGTGCAGCCTGCTGAAAGGCAGAGAAACCCCAGCCCTGTTTGGTCTGCTGGATAAACACTCAGTGCTGCACCCTGCTCAGCAGCACCATTCTCTAAAGCCAGGTCAGGCACACCCCCCCAGCGTGGGGATCTTCTGCTTTTGAGGTATGAGGGGTTATTCCCAACATTCACCTTCCAACATGTGAATTCAGAGTTTTTATTAATACAGACTTGACTGGCTATGTGTGTGTAAGGATAAAAGAGCCTTCAAAGTAAAAATGAATCCAAGCCCATTGCAGAGACGGGGCCTCTCTGTGAACTTTGTGTCTGGAACTGTTTCAAGATTATTTAATTTCCTCTGATATGGCCAATGAAGCAATGTGAGGAATCCAGAAGGGGTCAGTGATGCTGTTAACTGCAGGGGAAATAACAAGGAAATTTGAAGTCTGGTCTGGGGCTGTGGCATATAAAAGCCTTTCAGTGCACCATCGACCAGGCTCTCACTTGGATCTCCTGAACTATGTCAGCATCACTGTATTCCCAAGATTCCCATGCAGGAAAAGCTTCAAAGTTTTCTCCAACTTTTCAGCTTTCGATACAAAGTGAATGAAATATTCAGCAAATTCCTCAGCACTGAAGTCATGAGGACTGCAGCCACTGATGTCAACAGCAGCAAAATGGGGCACTGATACTGTTGATACTGTTTTCAATTCAAGTTTAGTGAGTCTGAAATTTAGGTCAGATTTTCTTTTCATCTGGCAACTTGTTATTTCTCAGGTTCTCCTGCAGCTCTCTTAAGAAATGCCATCAAACTTAAAAGGAAATGCCGAAAAGGTTGACTGTTCTAGAAATGTAAGAACCCCAAATGATTCCTGCTGCAGCACCCCCAGCACTGGGGAGGGACTGGTGCCCACCCAGCCCCAGCTCTGAGCACAGATGGAAACCTTTTGCCTTCCCCTCCCCTGAGAGCAGCCATAACTCATGGGTATTACACAGATTAAGAAAAACTGATGCATAAGCAATTAATATATTACACACGATACTAAAAGCAATTTTCAGCTCTGCCACTTCCCTTCCTCAGGCTCTGAGTGCCCTGTGATAGTTAAAACAAGCCAGAAAATGAGACCAAGGAACAAAGCCTTGGTTTTATTGTGTTTTTTGGTTAGAAATAAAAGAGAGAAGCACGTATCCTCTATCCCTGGGTGTGGAACAGCTCATGGCACAAGCTGCCTGCTCTGTGTTCCCTTCACATTGCTGCAATAAAGGCAGCTCAGGGAGAATCCCCAGCCTGCTCCACAGCCCTGACTGAAAACTCTGCACAGCACAGGAAACACCCAGGGCCAAGCTCCTCCAAGGCTGAACTGAAGCAGATCAACATAAAAGGAGCTCAAGCAGACTGCCTGCCTGCCTGTCTGTCTGTCTGTCTGTCTGTCTGTCCAGGAGCAGCCTGAGGGTCAGCCACAGCACCCAGATCTGCTCCCCTGCCTTCTCCCACCCCCTGAACACCCTCTGACAAGCAGCAGTCCCATCTTCAAGGACACGTCAAGCACCACCAGGACAACAATTGTTCTCCAGCAGCAGCAGCAGAGTGGGGGATTCTGGGTCCCATTTTTAAATGCAATATACTGCCCTGACTGCAGGCTAATTCAGGAGTACACAAACAGCACTCCTAAGAAACTTTCAGAGAGACTACAAATTCATTTCAAATGAAGGCACTTTTCAAAATCACAATATCTTGGCCATTTCCACATTCTTTAATTTTTTAAAATCCCCCAAGAACTAATCTACTTTCTGTGCAAGGCAGCAAGTAGAGTTTTAAAATGAAATTTATTTTATGTGACAAAAAAAAATTGAAAGCATCTGATAGCAGTGTTTGGACTTGTTCCCAAGAAATTCAAAAATGAAGGAAGCAGAGTAAATTGAAAAAACAGAAGGAAGAGGCACTGTAAGTCAGCATCAATATCCAGGTCATAAAGAAGTTTCTGTAAGTGAATTTCAAACTCTAAAAAAGCCAGGACTGGCACTTCCACAGCTGAGACAGAGCTACACAGATAATCCTCCTGGAAACAAGGGAGATTGGAGCCTGGCTCTGGAAGCCTCCAACTGTCTTGGCAGCAGGATGCCCAAATCCCAACAACATCTGACTGACCCTGCAGAGGCTGAGCTGCCTTTCTTGCCTGAAGAACATCTACAAACTCCCAGTTTGGAAGGTTCTTTCCTGTTACCAGGGCATCCCTTCAATGGATACAACACGTGAAGGAAATAATTACTATTTAAAGGTGCTTAATTAGCAAATCGTATAATTAAAGAACAAATTTTTCTCTAATGATTAGAGGAAAACTCTAGTGGTTAGGCTCAAGGAGGTATCAAAGGAGATATCTGAAAGCAAATGATTAAATTTTGTGCGTAAGAAATGACTTCAAAATTTACTGCTAGAAAACCCCCACTGTCCAGGAGGTCTGCAAGCTTCCCCCTCGAGCTGCTGGCACAGCCCAGAGCAGCACAAACCTCACTGATGCTCTGGCCCTGCCTGTGTCAGGGCTCATGGGATGAAGCCCACGTGCAGCAGCTGCATTATTGCCTCCCCCAGCTGCAGCCACTGCGCTGCCCAGAGCAAACTGCAGGACTGCTTTCCACAAAAATCACCTTTCTTAGCAAGGGGAAAGAGCACCCCCAAAGCAGTTGTGCTCTAGGCAGGGCTGAGAAGGCTGTGCTCACATCTGCCCACCCACAGCTAGGTACCCCCAGGGCTGACTGCAGCAATCTCACTTTTATTCCACCCCTGGCCAGTCAGGGAACTTGCACTGATGGCAGTGGGAGCTCTGCACAAAGAGCAGGAATGCAAAGTGTTGCTTGGACTTAGCTGAAGAGCAAACCTTATGTTCATCCAACCTCTCAATTGTGAGAAGGCAAGCACTCAGCCATGACTGATTCAGGAACTAATTCAACATTAAATTGTGGCAGAATGAGGAAGCAAAGTGACAGCTGTTTAATTAAACTCTAAATCCGATTAGATGGTGTTATCAGAGAAATCCATGGGAGCCTGAGGTCATGAGAATGGTCCAGTGTGCAGGCTGGAAACTGTGTGAGTGGAGTCTCCAGGATGATGTTAAGTGTGGCTCAGCATTCAGATCTGTCCCTCTCACAGCCACGCCACCTCACCAGTGCCAAACCTGTGGCACAGACTTGAAGGACTGACACAACAACGTTTTGACAGGGAAAGTTATTGGAGGAGCATGTGGGAAGGGGGCAGGTGGGCACGGTTAACCTTGAAATGAACCCAGCAGTTGTGTCACAGAACAAGGACAGAGCCAGCAAGTCCTGGCTGCTGGCAGGGCTGCAGGAGACAAAGCCCACCCAGGAGAGCTCCAGGAGCTGGGCTGTGCTTCCACTGAGGCTCCCCATCACCCTGAGGACACTGACTGCCTGACAGCACGTTTGCAAGAGGAGGAGATGGAGGTGTGGGAGATCTGAGCTGCCCATGCCAGCTGCAAACAGCCCAGAGGGGCACTGAGCTGTGCCAGCCCCAGAGCAGGCACAGGGCAGAGCTGCAGGCAGCTGTGTGTGAGCACAATGCTGTGGGTGCAGGCATTAATGCTGCTGGGATTACAGCTGATTAAGGAAATAACACTGCTAGGCAGCAGACTCTGCTGATCTCCATAATCCCAGGATTAACAGTAAATTATACATTGTGCTTTCTGCCAGCTGGGTCCTCTGACACTCCACCTCCCCAGGCACGGGGTACAGGAGGGGAAGGAATTCTGCTCTTGAAATTCTCAGCACTCCCTGCAGAAGAGCAGCAGTGACCCTACAGACCAAGGGCTTTGGATGGATGGGGACCCCCTGAGGCAGAGTGACCCCTGGCAGGAGTGGGGAAGGGCAGATTTTGTTGGTTGGATTTTGGGCTGCTCTTTCACTTGATTCCAACACCACTGGCACATCACATCTCAATCCTGCTCTTCCTTTATCACTTTATGATACAAGGGCTTTTACTTCATGGGTAATATCAGCTGCAGGAGAAACAGGGAAATGCTGTTCAGGAGTGACACCAAGAGGGGACAGCCTGCTTCCTTAACAGCATCCCTCAGCCTCCAAACGTGGATGCAGCTGGGATCCAGGTTACTCCGTGGTCCACACTGCCATGGAAAACGTCACCTAAGGAACAAATTAACTGTGGAGAAAATCAGGCCACTCCAAATCTACATAAGAAACAGACTTAGTGAGTAAAAGCTGCCATTTCTGCAGTCTGTTCCTGACAGGACAGGAGAACAAAGGAGCTCAAAGCTTCCTTTGGATGCCAATTGCAGCTGGCACAGCAGCACTGTGAGGAGGCTCCTCTCTGCTAAAGCTTTGTTAAACACAACAACACAGCCCAGGAATTCAGGGCAGCACCTGCCCCGAGAACAAGCACAGCCCAAACATCTCCCTGGGCTCCCCCAGAGCTGGGGCTGGCACTGCTGCCCCTGCCGTGCCACGCCTGCCTGCAGCCTGAGCCTGGCAGGGCTGTGGCTCTCCAGGAGCCTGCCCAGGGCAGGGAGGCTCTCAGGAGGGCTTTGCCCATCCCTGGCTCTGTTCAGAACACAGTGC